GCACGGCTAAAAAATTGGGCTGTACTGGTCACAGCAGTGTTTGCTGCTCGTAGAATGTGCTTTTTCCCAATATATGTCTAGTTGTACCTTGTGTCAGGACGCGCAGATTTCTAGGTGTAATCGCCGATTGAGACCTCCGCTGGGATCCTCACGTGGCCTTCCTGAAGACGCACTTGACGGACATTGCTAACTTATACAAGTATTTTGGAAAGAAAGCGTGGGGTACCTCAGTACACTAAGATGCAACTGTACAAGACACTTTTCATCGGCTATTTGCGATACAGCTTGCCTGTGCTGACCAATACTTGCAGAAGCAACGCACTCGGAAGCGCTCGGGCTATGGAATTTAAGAGTTTGTCTGGAACAACCGGGATATATGTCAGCAGCTTGAGATCATTGTGGTTGCGAACGACGACCCGGCCAAGACGGATGTCGTAATGGATTGGAAGCGTTCAGAGCACATGCGAGGCATCTCGCTCGCGCCCCCGACTCGCTGTCTGAAGACTCGACCTCGCAACTCATTCTGTTGCGATCATGTCCTACCTTACGCGCGTGTATACTAACAAGATATACAGCTCCAGCGACAGTTAAAAGACCACCATGGTGTATAACTCATCCACGGGTTCGACTCACGGCTCCGGGTTGGTTATTCCTTAGGGATCGGCCATGAAACGAACGGTACCTTATTTTAAAGATAATATATTGTTGTACAATCCAAATATGTTTAGAAATGAATGGTTTAAAAATAGATTCACTGGTACTATCGAGGTTTTCACAAAATCACAAATAAAATATGCAAAATACATTTTGAAAAACTTGCAAGCTAATAGATTGAAACTGTGAAATTGTACATAAAGTTGACATTCTATTCGTTTTCTCTCCCGTAAGAAATCGCACACAGCTTTGCAAACGTTCCTGCGGCTGAAACCTTTTTTTTTTTTGGTTGCACCAAAGGAAAGAACCACCGAAAGGGATAAATTTAAGTTCATTTTTTGGCGGGGTTCATCAAGCAATCGTTTTCTTTGACTTCTCAACAATTTGCATGTTAAAAAAGAAATAACACAGAGATGGTGGAGGAAGCAGGAGGAGGGGGGGGGGGCGGTGTCATCTCTTTAAAATGATTCTTTTTTCGCTTCGAGTGCCATGGCGAAAAGAAATTCCGTGGGAGGGAGGGGGGTGGCGTTGTGCCACTTCTTAGCTACGTCACTGCGCTCTACATTTTTTCACTTGTTTTTCTTATTTTTTTTTCGCGCATCTGCTTTCCTCTCCGCTTTCTCTTCCACATTTGTTTCCCTTTCCCCTTCTTTTTAAAATTGGGTAGCAAACGGCTAATGCTACAATTCTGGTTGACCAGCCATCCTACCTTTCCATCATTTTACACTCTCTCTTCACCAAACCCGAGGAGTGATTCAGGACGCGGCTCTTTCAAAGATGTAAACGTCTATGGGCAAACCTGCAGGCAATGGCAAATCGGGATTTCATCTCGGGGTGCAATCGGAGTTTCATGGCGGGGGGTCTGGACCTGTATGAAAATCACAGGTCGGACAAAGTGGAAGGAAAGGTACGTGTCTCAACACTACTCTGAGGAAACACGAGTCGGCCTTCCTACGTTTTCACGTACACACTTGGTCGACCATTGTAGTTCTTGCAGGCGGATGCACCCCTATTGCGAACACGCGCATTTCGTGGACAAAGACACAACGTTGACATTGTCATTGTCATTTTGAGGGACATTTTGTCGACAGGAAAGTACGCCTCATACCGACCTTCGGGTTTGGGGTCTCCTCGATCGTAACCGCCGTGGACTTTGCTGTACCCTATTATTCGCCCGTTGTACGTACTCGGGTTCTTCGGCTGTTGTCTTTTTCCTTTCTAGTGGACCAGTGGCAAGTAGCGGGATTGATCCAATTTCTGTGGCGCCGTTTATGATGATGATAGTTGTCTCAATCGACTCGCTATTTGCTGGACAGCTTCGCTTAAAAAAAAAAAAAAGATCGCTGCGAACTTTCCATACGCCATCTCCTACGTACGTACAACAGCACATTAGTACAAATTGGTCTCGCAAACGCCCCGTCGTACTCGAAACTCCGTGAAACGTCCGTGTAACTGTAGGCGTGTGCAAAAGAAGGGTAGGGAGGCGCTCTCTCCCGCACCCTTCTCTTGTAATTACCTGAGTGGGAGGGAGGGGGCAAATACTTGTTTTAATAGGGAGGGCGCACTGCGACGAACCTCCTCGCCCCCCCCCCCCCCCCCTAGGGAACCCTGCGCCCGCCTATGCGTGTAACGTACGTACTATATATCGGCGCCAGTAGGGTACGTGCGCGCCATCCACTTATCGCCACAGACAGGCATGCTGCCTATAGAGGATGCGCGAGCCTGTCAATGGTTATAACTGGACGGCAAGCACTATGCCATCATCGCGGAGGCTTGTCGCTGTTCGGGTTTCATCTGACGCCGATAGCACATTACGCGAAGGCAGCAAGAGCAAGTGTATTTGCTATCTCGCTGTCGCTTAGGGCTTTTGTTTGCGGAAATCGCCCGTTATGCGCTACCCGACCTGACATCGTATTGGATATATGCTTGCGCGACCGGCACTATAATAGCGGGCGCTCCACCAGACCCGGCCGCCATGGTTCACGGGCGCTCGACTGTTGACCCGACGGTCGCGGGATCGAATCCCGGCCGTGACAGCCGCACTTTCGATAGAGGCGCCCGTGTACTTAGAGTTAGGTGCACGTTAAGGAACCTCGGCTGGTCGAAAGTTCCGGAGCCCTCCACTATGGCGTCCCTCACAATGATATCGCGGTTTTGGGACGTAAAGCCCTACAATTATTATGCTAGTCTGCGATTTTCCTTACCACACTATTCCACGGCATACGTGTGGCCAGTGTGCAACCTAAAGACACGAAATCGAATCCATAAATCGGTTTAGATTGACAAATTTGACTTTGAAAGTTCGAATGCCGTTGATTTTAGCGTCATACTTTTACGAAGGTCAAAGTCTCATTTTTATATTTCGTGCTAAACGTTTCCGCGAGTGACGTCATAGATTTTTTTTTTTTATGTGCGCAACAATAGTTACACCTTTCAAGCATGAATCAACTCACCCAGAGGCAGGTTTTATAGTCTCTCCTCATTGACGCCTGTCAGCTTACGCATTCTTAACAAGGAGCCTGTCGTTTGGAGGATGCATACTGTCAGTGGAACTGGGAACGGCTTGAGCACAATGACCAAGAAAAGAGGAGTGCTCCTGTGTTGCCTAACAGTTTTTTCATACCGTATATCGGTAACTTGCTAAAAGACCGATGAGCCAGATAGTGGAGTCATCGGCTGTCCAGCTTTTATAAAGTCAGTCTAGAGTGAATGCCCATATGGTGTAGGCTCGTATTTATCTAGCTTTAGAGGAGGAAATACAATCAGTTTACAAACTGATTTGATGACAAACTGAAATGTTGTAACCTTGATAAGTTGCATCCGTCAATAGCTCTAGGGCTTTGCCTCATATTATTTATTGAACACCTTCCCCACAACCCATCCTTGCCTCTCTTGCAAATTATAGAATTCATTTATTTAGTGACAAGAACTTCAATTGCTGCTTGAATTGAACAAAGTCATCGCACACTGTATTCACACTGCAGTATCGTGCAACCAACGAGAACTTAAAGAGACACTAAAAAAAAACAATTTGTTGTTTTAGACTCTGAGAAGTGTAATTCATAAGTTTAACTGTCATAAGTTCATTGTTAGAGGAGAAAATTCAGGTTAAAAAGTTTCAGTTTTAAATTTCACGCTGTAATCTCTGCATATGATGAAAGAAATTTCACAATACATTTTTCGTATTTTCGCGACATTGGTTCAATGAAATTTTCTGAAACTTTGCATGCTAAGTGTATGGCACCCACCGATGACAGTGTACTTCATGTTTTATTATATTAATTAGAAGGCACATAGGACCCAGTAAACACCTTCAAAATTTATGAGATCACAGTGTCTGGTGCGAGAATCTCAAGGTGGCATCTCCACAAGCAGTTTCTTTTCACGTGTTTTGTCACTTATTAAGTGTCATGTTCCTATAAGAATAGCGTTTTCAGGATTGTGAAATTGAGCTTAGCTAACACGCAGAAAATGTTTTTTAGTCTTTTGTGTCCCTTTAACAAGGCAGAAGTACTCAGAAGACTATTTTCATTTAAGAGATTCAGTGCAGGCACCCCAAAGGTACTAGCGTAGCTAAGCATTCGTTTCTTTTGTGCTATCCTTGGGCATCGCTGGATGTGCAAAGAAATGCAATGCTTCGGCACTAAAACTCATCAGTTAGAAAGTTTTAGTGTTGTGGCTGTTGGCTCTTCACGCTTTTGGGTTCCATGGTACATCTTCCCATTTTCTTCATTCACCAGCCACAAGCAGAAGGTTAGAATGAAATGCTTGCGTGCTCAAGCCCCTTGGAGGTCATGCCATCGAAAATCTCGATTAGAGAGTTTTAGCGATGAATATACTTAACCAGTGGGTTTTATAGTCTGCCAGCTGCAGCCGAGGAGAATATACAATGAAACACAACAGCTTGCCTACACAAACCACTGGAGGTCCCCAGGCTAAAACACTCTATATAGCATAATTTACAGACCCATGTTGCCAAGTGAACGCAATCACATTAGGAAGTTTGGGTATTGATGGCCACAAGCGTTCCCATTTATGGTGAAATAAGAGACCAGCGAGTGGCCAAGTTAAATGCATAAAATAAGAAGCATTTCAGGAAAAAAGAAAACATTCTCATGCGACACTTGATCACATCGTGCAACCAGTACTGTGCAACAATGTACCATCAGTGCCTTTTAGCCTGTAAGTCATCCTAGCAATCTAAATGATTGGTAATGAGAAAGCCATGCAACGGAAAGTGAGTGCTTGCTGACAATTTAAAATAAGCAAATACCTCTTTGAACAGATAGTGTGTGAAAATTAGCATTGTTTATCAAAATAAATTATAAAAGTAATACGAAACAATTTGCACAGTACTTCGAACAAATGAAGTGCACACTCTCTCCTTGTAATGTCCAGACAACATATTTCATATCTATATATATATTATATATACATGTATTCGTATATAGTACAATACTTCACAAAATTTTCTAAGATGCAACACCATTAGCTTCCACAGCACTGATACTATATCAGCAAAGTTAATCTCATATTGTCTTTGCATACTTTTCTTGCCCGCTCCCATACAAGCAGTTTATAAATCTATTGTGACAATGGATAGTGATAGTCGCAGAAAAAAATTTCAAAAAGACACCTGCACCTTCAAAATCAAATTCAGGAATGCGAAACGCGAACACTGAGCTGCGTCGTAACTTGGGAGAGATGCTGAACATACGCAGTGAAATAATCATCTCACAATTAAAAGCGCTGAAATTGAGTAAAACGGAAAGGAAAGGAGAAGAATCAAGCGAACACATGAGAGTTACAATTTCAGCATACAACACGAAATTTTTGAAAGCACAAGTTGAACACTTACGTTTAGACCCACTTGCGAGAGGCTAATAGCAAGATAAATGCATGTCTAAAATTACACAAGGGCAGCCGAGGCTATCGTGGAAAGCCTTCCTCAGCTCTCGGCAGCCTTGATCTTCACTAGTTCAGCATTCTTGGCCACATTGTCCCCTGCCTTGTAGAGCAACTTCTCAACAACACCTGCAGTGGCTGCCTTGATGACATACTGTAAAGAAAAGCAGAAGGAAGAAAAAAAGAATACAGGCAGTGTCAATTGAACATTTGAGCCACTCTGACACTCACAATTTCAGCTACTGCGACAGTGAAAAAACAGCAAAACGCAAGATTACATCTTAGGCCTTAACGGCTCAGAAAAAAAAAATAATAATCACAGCATATCCACGGAATTAATGATGATGAGTGGGGCGAAGATTCAGAGGGTTTTATCCGTAAACCGTGAATCGTACGTATGTCTGCCCATCCGTTCGTTCGTCTGAAGAAACAGGCGAGGACAGATGCAAACTACCAACCGGCTTTATTCGAGGAAGATCCACACTTTTATACATTAATACCCTGTGCAGGTGCATTGCCACAACAACCAAGAAAATTCTAACCAGATGAGAAAAAAAATTGGTATTGAGCATTGTACAGAGCAATGCAGATTTCACTCAGGCACTCGTCACCTGCTTTGTTAATGAAAAAAGCTTCTAGCATTTCACGAGCCGTTTTTTCTCTACCTCTGCCTAAGATTTTGCACAGCGAAATCACAAACGTTTAAAAATGTTGGGAAAATGTTGCAAATATGAGAGTACCTCCATTTTCATCGCAATCATGACGACGAGTGGGTCACCCTCGGAGACGGTGTCTCCCTCCTTAACGAAGAGCTTCTCAACCACGCCTGGCATTGGGGCCACTGCACCCTTTTTGCCTGTACCACCAGCGCCTCCAGCGTTCTCAAGGTACGCCGGCGTTGGCACGGACATAGGTTCTACGCCGTCCTGCACAAACCGCGGAGCCTTACATACAGGGCACTTTCTTTTTTAATCTATACAGATTTTTTATAAAACAGTAAGACTCTTGTCATTCTTGCACTCAAACACTACTTTGAGGAAGAAATATTAAAATTTATAAATTAATTTTCAATTACTGACTTGAGGACAGGTGTTTACATAAAAAGTTTAAGTGTGTGCCAATTTATGACATACATTAGTTTTTAAAAATCAACAAAGTTGCACGACGTTAAAGATATTCATCGTTAAGATTTACAGGCAAAATCGAAACTATTTAGTGTTATGGACGAGCTTGATAAGAACTTTCATATTTTAGTCCCTGTCATTTATATACATTTGAGGCTACTCTTTGTGGTTCTTTACAACCCAGACTCCTAAGCGAATCATAGATTATTTCCATTCTGGGCCTTGTTCCTTTAAATGTTACCTACAGCTGTCATCACATGATATGTAAGGTTGTATATACTGCTCAGTGTATAAATGAATTTGAACCGCATGCTTCACAGAAAGAGAGACTCACTGCAGTGAAGACATGAAGCGTGCCGTCATGGAGTACTGTGCGAATCTTGATGTCAGTGCCTTGGACTTCGCATTCCACGTGAGCTACCCCACGCTCAATTGCAGCACGCCCCAACACCTGGAAGGCTTCGTCTCCACAACGCATCAGGTACGAGTCGGGCTCGAGGAACGTCACCAGCACATCATGCTCTGGAACAGTGACAACGGGAATCTGTACTGCGACATCCTCGATGAACGACACACCGAGACACAGCTGCAGTTAAACAGAGAAGAATGGAAAGTTGGTGTAATCTATTAAAGCAGGTGACTGGACCAATCGGCAATTCATGCTCACAATTAACAGCACAAAACTACACGGCTACAAAGAGCAGACACAAAAGGGGTGTGCTGGGAATCAGCGCATGTTGGTACTATACAACACGGTATAATTCTTGCAATACAACACGCCTGTTTGACATACCCTCAAATACGAGTGTTCATGTGGTTGCCATCCAGTAAGGTCATTTTCATTGAAAGGCACGACTCACACGAGATATTTGTATCCATAACTTCCCGTAAAAGGGGTTGCGAGGGCAAGTCAACGCACCCCCTCCTCCTTCTGCAACTTATGCCTCTGATCGATAAACATTGAGCTGGCTTATGCCTGCTAGTGCGTTGAAATAGGTGTGAGTACGCGCATACAGACACAAGCCGAGATAAAGCTGGCAGTAATGGTGAAAATGGATCGATAGGACTAAAGATCATTGGCAGAAAAACAGGACCTCACTGAGAATCGCTCACAAAATACATTTTGCACTTAGGGCTCACTTGGACATGCCATAAGTTTCTTCATATGAACTAAGTCAGACTCAGGCTTACTAACATGCTTTCTCAACTGGACTCACTAAGCCTAAAGCTCACTAATATATTACTTGTATTTCGACTTACTAGGACACGTACTCATGATTCAATGCGTCTCCGAGTGAGTTTGCCGACCTATGACTGCCACTGATAAAGTTCAAAATGGCCTGAAGTTGAATATCACCACAATAACAATGAAACAAACATACATCCACACTTAAAGGAGAGCTGACGCAAATTTCAAGTATTATAAGGTTTGCTCTCTAAATAAAATCACAAGTGTCGAGAACTTTTAAGAGTGTCATGGCACCTGGGAATGCATTGAATATATGTTTTTAGTACCTTCCCCATCAGCTTAAAGCAGCAATTTCACTTTAGGTATCGAAACGGTGACTTCGCAGTGATGTGTCAACACAAGCCTGATGTCATGGGAAGACTGCACTTTGCGACAAGTTTGCAATCGGTTGCATGTGGTTTACATAAACAGCAACGAGTGAACTGTCGCCCAGAGAGACTGATAGGAATTTCTGCGATTTAGGCTGCATGCAGGACACAGACATGAATATAAGGACACAACCAAGAAAGCCAGGCAGACTTACTCTTGTCTCGGCTTGTCAGCTGGACTTTCCGCTTGCAGTTACTGTTAACACGAAAAGGGGCCGTGAAATTCAGCGTTGGAAAGCTTTCTGCAAGAGAAAGGCATTGATGTCAGCACTCAGCAGGCCAACTACACATATGTGACATTCACTTTTTGTAGTTTACAGGCTACGTGTGCTGTCCCAGATTCATGGCGTAGCTCAATATACTATGACGGAGTTACATTATGTAACTCCTTCAGTGCACTACAGCGAACTTGGAAAGAAAACACTCAGGTAGGTCTGAACCGTTGTCAAGCACGTTACTCACCACGTGCTTGGGCACCCAGTGTCTCGGCCCTCTCATGGGCCAGGAGGGACAGCACGGCTGCACAGATGACAGGCTTGCTCACCTCGGGACGCACAAACAGCTCATCGTTGTGTTCAGAGATGAAGCCGGTGTGCACAAGGCCTTGGCGGAAGGCTGGGTGTGCTGCTAGCCGCATCAGGAAGGAAATGTTGTTGGCCAAGCCAATGAGGGTGTACTCGGACAGTGACTGGTAGAGGCGACGCAGGGCTGTAGGCCGGTCGGGACCCCAGACTGCCAGCTTGGCGATCATTGGGTCATAATGAACAGACACTTCATCCCCTGCATGCCATTTTCGTTGTCACTGACTCTACTGACAAACTATGTTGTCTGCATCTATTATACCTGAGCAAAGACACATACGCAGAAAAAAAATGAAAAAATTTACAGCGTCTCTTATGCATTTGTTGAATGCGACGCCAAGACGAGAGCCATCTTGTTTTTCTTTTCCTTCTCAGTGTACTTATTGGGACTCCCCACCAAAAGCTTATTGAATCTAAAGTTGATTTGCACTGCCCCCTGAATCAAAACATAGAAGCTTTCTGCGCTTCACAAGGTTTCACACTGCCTCCGTGGTTGGAGAACTTTTGGCCACGCGACGATGCTACGTGATTATGCAACGCCAAGTTATGCCAAATCATAGTATAATGTTATAATGACATCACTGCGATGTCACAAATTTTGGAGATCTGTGACGTTACGATGACGTCATCAGGGGTTGGCCTTTTCAACACTACTAGTGTTGACACCAATGCTGCGGATGTCGCCGATCAATATTTGTATTTGATGAGACATCTCACGCTTTTGCTTTAGAAAGAAATTTCAAGGCAGTAGCAACTGCAGTTTTCATGGTAGCAGCTGTCAAGTTCCTATGTACTCATGGGCAGAACGACCCAAGCTAAAACATCTTACCCAATAATTTTTCAGCATTGTGAGAAAACGGTGTCAATCGGTAGTCAAGCCAAACATCGTATATCAGAACCCATGGTCTGAAATTTACAAATAATTTTCAAAGTAAGTTAGAAACTAAGTTAGAAATCGTTCCCTCTTATTTTAACAAATGATGCTATTTACCTAGATGACTGCAGCATGTACTCAAATTCACGGCCATTGGCTGATTTGAGCATCAAGAGCTCTATAGTTCCCAAGGCTGCCACAAGGGGCCGTAACATGCTCCCACGTGCACGTGCAACCGCTATTAAAGTAATCTGCACACTTAAAAAAAAAATAAAAGTGCTCAGGGTTTTGAAACGAATGTGACATAACTTTTTTTTACTCTGCCATCCCTCTTTACTTAGCGTTCAGCGTGTTTATCAGGACAACAGGACAATTTCATTACAGCATGCGATAAATCTCCAACTCCACTCGTACTGGATGTATTCCAAACATTTTTGCAACAGTTGATTTATGAGGCGAAAAAACCCCTTTACGAATACACGCGATGGCTACTTGGAAAAGTGTTGTAAGGCTCCTTTAAGGGCTTTTCAACAGGATCCGGTTATTTGGGTTATTGGATGCAGGAGGTTGAAGGGCTCAATCTGCTACATACTATTATTTTTGCTGCAAGTGTTTCTCAAATAGGCTTACCATAACAAATGAAGGAACAAACTGGAGTGTTGCATTTCTAGCTGCTAGGAAGCAATCTTCACTCACACTTTAGACACTCTCACCATTTTCTTTGACTAGTGTCTACAAACAACAATTGTTTCATGCAAACTTCCTTCCTCTCCCAAGTACATGCCTCTTGCGAAAGTTATGATGCACACAGTGCTATTCAAGCAACTTTAATTCTAACTGCATTAAAAAAATGTTGAGATAGTGCATAACTATTTGCAGGTGCATCAATATGGTCACAACTGGTTCAACATCCCCTGAAAATGCACGCCCCTTCCTGCATTCATAAAAGGCACCACAAAAGTGACAGGAAAGGTATGTAATGCGGCATCACACTGCACAATCCACCACACTGCATGCTTTAAAAACTGGCATTCCATGAAATGACAGGCATGAAACTTCATATGGTGAGAAAAAGACACAGTTTGGGGAAGCTGGCGAGAAACACTTTTGCTAAAGGTTCTTCTTTTGAGCTGACAAAATAGGGGTTCGTTCTAAATAAATAGTTTTTATAGCAACAGACCCAGCATTAGTTGGTTTGAATATTAGTGCAACTAAAATAAGCCCATGTTATCGCAGCAAGGTTTTGTGAGTGGCTGGAGCTTGGTTTCCATAGTCCCCAAAAAATGAAGCCAGCAACAGATGACTCACCTTCACGTACACCTGTGTCGATACGCACTTGCGCAGAGGGGGTTGGTGTGCGAAGGTACACAAGAGAGCCGGCACCTGGCATGAAGTTGTTGTCTGGGTCCTCGGCATAGATACGTGCTTCAAAGGAGTGGCCGTTGACACGCAGCTGCTCTTGCCGCAGTGGCAGTGGCTCTCCCTGGGCAACCTGCATGCACACAATGCTTCTGAGGACACACTGGATTGTGTGCGATACTTTTAAATCAATGTAGAGCGGACTCTCGATAATTCAAACTCTGATCGTTCAAAAATTCAGTAAGTTCAAACAAATTTTAAATTTTTGGTCGGCGTGTTATGTTAATGTATTCTAATTCCGCTCAAGTCAAGTTGCCTCACTGCACAAATTCAGCTCATTCAAACCTTTTTTCTTTGTTTGTTGCTGGAAATATCTGGTGCCTTTGAAGCTATAAACATTCTAGGTTTTATGAAACAGTCACAAATAAAGCCAACTACTGGCTACAAAATGGACAAACAAGTCAAACCATGCACACCAGTAATCGCATACTTACAGAGGATGAAAAAAAAAAAGAAATAATACAACGGTCTGGCTGTGGTTTATCACATGTTGAATGCTTGTCACTCGCCCCGCCGCGGTAGTCTAGTGGCTAAGGCACTCGGCTGCTCACCCACAGGTCGCGGGTTTGAATCCCGGCTGCGGGGGCTGCATTTCCGATGGAGGCGGATATGTTGTAGGCCCGTGTGCTCAGATTTGTGTGCGCGTTAAAGAACCCCAGGTGGTCGAAATTTCCGGAGTCCTCCACTACGGTGCCTCTCATAATCATATGGTGGTTTTGGGATGTTAAACCTCACATATCAATCAAATCGAATGCTTGTCACTTTCTCCACATTACAACAGTGTCATGCGGAAAAAGGTTTTAAGAATAAGGAGCTACCAGCTGTCACAGGACATGACAAATTTATCCCTAAACTACATATGAGCACATGCATTATATATTGACGAGCACTAGTACTGTCACTGAGGTCCAAGTACTTAAAGGGGTACTGACACAAAATTTCCGAGACAGCTGGGGCCGAGATAGCCCGCGGGTCGATTCTCGTAAACATTTGTGTGTCGTCTGCAAGATATCAACAGCCAATATAGCTTGGAAGGTATTTTAAATTAATTTTGACGCTTGCGTGAGTGACCGACATCATAGCGCTACAGACACCCTCGGAGGTGACTCCGAGGTGAACCCCTGCTTCCCTCACGTCACCACACTAAGTTATGATGACGTCATAGCCACCATTTTAAAGACGATAGTCTTTCTTGGGGACCTTCGACGAAAAATTTTGGTCTGTCTCTCTGTCTGTTTGTCCGCCCCAAACGATACCCCGAACGGCACCAAACGGCCAACCGCATCCGCAGCGCCCACCAATATTGCTCAAGGTTTAGCTTCATAGTTGTGTGATTGCTAATTAAAAACGCAAATATTGTGCATATCTGAGGCACCATAACAACATGTCTATGTTTTGTAAGTCTGCCTTTATACAAGAAGAGGCACACACAAGTAACTCTAAGGACTGTAGCGTTTAACGCGCTGCGCTGACAGTGCAACACGATGCTCAAGAAGGTGTTTCCAAAGCTTTGCTACGATGACACGGTGCTGGCACCTGCCCGTCGCTTTGCATTCTACACCTTATCACCTCCGAGACTGGCGCACATCTTTCTCCGCGGGCTGTATGCCTTCGTTTTCGAAGATAACTGCCAGATGGCGCTTGTGTCTAACGTGCCTAGATGCGCTTGTTTGCCTCCGCTACACGCTCAAGGCACTCTAACGCAGCGCCTTCAGAATACCATTCACCGATTTTCTTGCGCAGAACATCAAATAAACATTTTGTTCACTCTCTCCAGACGCAACACTATCGTCTTTCGACGACATTTACAGTGCAACATGTAGATTCGGGCTAATATTTTTATTCGCTGCGCTAGTTCCCGAAGTCTATATTTCTCGGTGGCTCGTTGTGAGTGTGTGGCCGTGACACACGCTTAGAAAGTTTTGTGCTTGGCGACATTCCAGTCCTGTTTCCTATTCGAAGGTAATTCTTGATGCGGACGGCGCGGAAGTGCGTCACAGTTCTGTGTGCTGTCCTGGTCAAGAGCTGTAAACGCTAGGTGGCGACAGTTGCAACCAGTTTATGAAACTCTCTCAAACCGGAAATGAAACTGATTGATAATGAGGGGCCTGTAATTAATAATCTGTCATGTGCTGTAGCAAACGATGTGTCGTGTCATGACTAACAGGCCCCCAGCCATGCACTGCAGCAGAAAAACGCAACGCCAAAGTTTTTTGTGTCAGTACCCCTTTAAGTGGCGATCATGCAGACCTTCTCTAATGTCGCTGTGGCACTGAGAAACATTAAACACCACAACACTAGTTGGTATGTTGCATCGAGTCATATTTTTTAGAAATTCATGTAATATAAACAAAATCATCAGATCTCCTCAATTTTGAATCATTGATAGTATACTGTGTATTCTCCTAGACATTATCGAAGAACTGTAATCTAAATGTGTGTCTGGCCCATCTTTCTGAATGCTTGCTTTCAGCTGCAACAGCATCACCAGGAAGAGCGGAAAGGTGCGCCACAAGACTAAAAGGGCTCCTGTAATTATCCCCTGCTGCTAATCATGTACCCTTTATAAAAGATAGCAGCAGGGTAGAAAGCAGTACCAATGGTGATGACCACTTGCCTGAAAGAAATCGCAGGAAATGCTTGAAACAGCAGTTTACAAATTAACTTTAAACATTTCGCTATAAATGTTCATCTGTGCATGTAGTATGTTCAACTTAGCACAATGAAATGTAATATAACAAATGATCGGATTCTACAAAGTAAATTAGAAGATTTCTCTTTTTTTACATCAACACGTAAAGCACATTGGCATTCTTCTAGCTTTAGTTTTTTCGTGAGAGTTCTCTTGCTGTTTGTCACATGCAAGTACTGCTTCACAAATGATGCTTGTAAATGCAGCGCCATTAGCGGGGAGAAAGGAGGCTGCGTCCGCACCTTAATTTGCCACTCAACCAGGTCAGTGCCAGTGATCATCTCGGTGATGGGATGTTCCACCTGGAGACGAGTATTCATCTCCATAAAGTAGAAGCGCTGCTGAGAGTCCATGATGAATTCAACTGTCCCGGCACCCACGTAATTCACAGCCTGAGCTGCTCGCACGGCTGCTTCACCCAGCAGTCGACGAGTTTCCTCAGTCACACCGGGCTGCAAGTACGAAGTCACAGCTCCATTACTCATCGTCTCACTACAAAAATGAACCAGAATGTTTGTGGGAAAAAAAAAAGAAGCTGGTGGGAGGGGGGGATGAGAGAGTATAGATTGCTGGGCAAGTTGTCAACCTAATTTTAAATAAGGAAGTGCTAAAAAGTGCACAATAGGCAAGAAGTGAAAACCACGAACCATCATCACCTGCTTTTCTATGCTGCTTGTCTTTATTCTTATACTTAGCAATATTCCCTACCAATATTTACATTATAAAGTAGCCTTGTCACACTCAATTCAAGCAAGGACCAAAGAAAACGTTTTGAGCAGTCATGCAGAACACTTTAGTGATGAAAGTTTCCCATCAAGAAAACCTGCAAAAGAAAAAAACTCTCTTCCGACAGATTCTCATGCTGTGGCACGAGAATGCAAACAGCAATTTGTGTAAGGCACCAGCATACCAGCCCTCCGAACCTTCCGACTTTATGGCAAGCATCGATATGCTCATGAGCTACAATAAAGTGAATTTTGACACAATTACTAATGCAATAAGTTTAGAAAAGCTTGTGTGCTACCTGTAGCAAATGCTACAGGCGATTATTGCTAGTTGAAAACTTTTCCTTATACATGGCAGCTAGATTTAATTACATAGTGAATACTTGTCAACTACATTCTCAATTGATGCCCCCACAATATAATAGTACATCTGGATGTCCAGCCTTTGTGATACCAACATCCAGTGACAATATTAGAAAGGACTTTCGTGCTAGTTGATGCAAATTGCAGACTTTAAAAGACGTTGAACAAGACAGAACAAGCAGAAAATAAAGCAACGTGTCCCACATTTTTCTCTGTCTCATCCAATATCCCTTTATACTAATTTTAATTAAACATGTCTCAAGTGTGCATCCAATATTAAGTCGATTTCGCCACAGCCTCCAAAGTTTAGCAAAATCCATAAAAGGTAATACGCATGAGAACTTTTGCATTCTATAAAAAAATTGCTGTGATCTGAAATGTGTTTGGCACATACATACAATCTTTCAAAATTTAGGAAAGAGCCTAGTCACGTCTATCAGTAACGTTACTGACACTACTGCTTGAAGCCAAAAGTGTGCTACCACTCAGTCAGAACGCTTTTTGCTTATCATGAGAACAATTTTTATTGTTATTTTTCTGTGTTAAGAGCTGCACAGTGCACTTTTTGGGTGGATTTATGGGCAAACGATGTGAATTTGATGATTTCTATCAAGGACCACTGGTGTTCCTTTCAAACAGTACCCATGCGGCCTATCTATCTCATGCGCTATGTTAACAAGCTGCTACCTAATGTTATTGCCACCTTGTGTGCAGTGCAGTAGTTTGACCTATACATTTCTGGAACATACCTTTGATTGGCAAAACTTGCCAAGAGCCCCTGAGCACCACGAAATCACACTGGTCAGTTCACGAGGAAGCTACCAGATGAACATAAGCAATTCTGCAAGCACGAGATGGGTTTGCCTAAATTACCAGCTGCGCTCGGACATACATTTACTCACCGTGCTGAAGCTGTCATACATTGCCACAGTAGTCGTGGCTTCACAATGTGTTTCATCTATTCCCCCACAGAAGCTGAGGGCAGAGCCACCTGTCAGCTTGATCCGCTAGCACTAGTGAGACAGTATGCTGCAGAGCTTATGTCACATCTGTACTGTGCCTACAGATACACGAAAACACTGTGCTGCAATTTTAAATTTTCCTCTTCACTTTATCACCACGAGCATTTCTCAATATTTCGAATCAAAATGATCTTTTAAGCATGCCTCTTTTCAATGTAGCTCTCTTCACCAGCACCCACTGCAATGGCTCAATGGATGAGGTGCTGTGTTAATGAATCCTTGGGCTGCCTCACTACTTGCACAAAGTGTCATAGGGTCAATTTCCGAGCACCAACTACATATTTTTTATTGCGATGAAAAGCAAAAATCAACTGTGTACTCCTCAGATCCAGGCAGACGCTAATGAGCCCTAAATGGTCAAGGTCCAGAGTTTTCTAGTACATCATTCTTTGTAATCCAGGTTTAGCATTAGACTTCGTCTACATCAATCTGACCACGAGTACTGGAAACACAGACACACCCCTGTAATAGGGGCAGCTAATTCGCAGCCCCAGAAAGAAGCGGAATGTTGCTCACAGCTGGGGCTTCCTCGATGACTTTCTGGTGCCTCCGCTGAACACTGCAGTCTCGTTCAAAAAGGTACACATAGTTGCCATGCTGGTCTCCAAACACTTGCACCTCTACATGCCTGCACAAGAGCAACATAGACGTTGGCAGATTGGTTATACGGAATCCCACAAGTTGGAGGAATGCTTTCGATGCCCTTATGAGTACGCTCAAGTTGACGATGAGTAGTACAAATGCTTAGACGATGAAAAGTATAATTCCTTTGCAGTTAGATCTTTTTTCATAGCCAAGGCAGAAGGTTCATATTTCCCCTCTCTGTTCCCCTTCGCCAAGATCTCTACAGCCTTCGAGCGTGTGTGTGTGTACAACAAAATGAAACACACACATGCATACATATGAGGCTATAGACTACTTTACAGATGAGTTTCAGTGCCACCATATTGGACTGTTAACCTTTGTGCTTTGCATCTTTAGCAACTAAACGAACAGTGTTACAGTAAATACATACGCATGAAAACAGTTCGGTTAGTGCATACGATGTTTCAGGGGCCTTATTAATTTATGTCACAGTATACAAAAAACAAAACAATTGGCTTAACAGCCCAAGATGGTGGCACCAGCATGTCTTAGATAAAAACGTCTTTATAGGCACCTTGGTTACCCCTGTTTACATAAATTACTGGCTACATCCCAAGTACTACAATTCTGTAAAGATTAGGTATAGTACTTTCTTGGCATGATGCATTGTTCACTTCTGCTCTACATTGCAAAAGTGCAAAAAAAAAAAAGAAACAAATGAGCAGCATACCTTGGGTCAGCCACAAACTTCTCTATCAGCATGGCATCGTCACCAAAGGACTTCATAGCCTCACGTTTTGCGGACTCAAGCTGCGTGTCGAACTCATCTTCGCTCATCACAATACGCATACCCTGCAAGAGGAATTAGTAAGTGATTAGTCTGTATACAGGCATGTTACCCAACACTCCTAAAAGAGATAACTCAAATAATGAAGACAACACCATTTCGGCATTCACTAGTGTTTCGCCTCACCTCTGAGTAGAATAAGTGCCAATTAAATATGGCCACAAAAGTTGCTGCCCTTCCTCTCCTTTGGAAGACACCAATATTTCAGAGATGGCAACACACAATGACTCTCCTATCAGCAAGGCTAACTATAACAATGCATTCATTACACCAGTCACCAAAGTTAAGAAGCCCTAATGCCAAAGTAGTGGTGCATAATACCACAATTTTGTGAGCCACGCTGACACTTTAAGACTTTGACTTTTAGATGAATCTTTAAGTACTGACCTTGCCTCCACCACCTCGCACTGCTTTGGCCATGACAGGGTACCCAATTCGACGTGCCTCTTCCTTGAGCTTTGCCTCCGACTGTTCCTCTCCGTGGTAACCCTCAATGATAGGCACGTTGGCTGCTGACATGATGGCCTTAGATGTACTGCAATACAGCGGCATGCTCAATCAAGCTCTGCCAACACGCACGTCTAACCAGCACACCCACCACATGCAGTATGCGGCTGTTTCCGACTTGACAGCGCGTCACCAGATACATATATAGACAGAGCTTGCACGCACCTCTTGATGCCCATGTCACGAATGGCCGAAGCTGGAGGCCCAACAAAAATAATCCCCTCGGCAGCACAGCGCTCGGCAAATTCAGTGTTCTCCGACAGAAAGCCATATCCAGGGTGGACTGCCTGCGCGCCACTGCGCTTGGCAACCTCCAGAATACGATCTTGGCGCAAGTAGCTCTCCTGGGATGCAGCTGGTCCAATGTGGTATGCTTCATCAGCCTGCACAGGATGTCCAAATGCAATTCTTTGTCACTTGTACTCATGCTTAAGGGGAGTTGGTGAAAAGCTAGATTCAACGCAAAAAGGGTTGCAGTGAAGGTGAATACCAAGTCCTGTGAGACTGGTGCGCTGCAGCAGCACACTACCTCACACTGAGCGCAGGTGAGGACAAGGCATGAGGACAAGGCTTCACTAGGCAGTACTGTACTTTGAATAGTTGAGGACCTCTGTGCACTGCACCAAATTAAGCAAAGAAGATGCCGAGAAATCTTGCTGAAGTGAATAGACCTCCTGCCACAGTAGCGGATCTCCAGTAAGCACAGCAGCATTGTGTGAACCTTTGTCGATTAAAGTGCGGCATTTTAATGTGATGGCATTTCAATGTGATGGAATTAAGGAGCTTGTTTCATAGAATTTCTGGTGTTGGCATCGTTGGTTGTGAGCGAGAAATCATCATCTTGTCTATGACCGAAAATTATAGAAAGATGCAAATAAAGTAAATAAAAAGTTTCAGGTTCAAGTGAAAATCGAGCCCAGGCCATCTGCATGACAAGCAGGTGTCTTACCACAGAGCCGTGCTATTTCTTGAAGCTGCTTCGGAAAAAGAAATCATATGAATGTCACCTAGAGAATGGAGTTTCTTTAATGCATGTAATATTGACACAAGGTAGGATGGCAACTATAGTAGCCAGCCTCTGAGGAGGACAACGAAGTAGTTCTGTGTGCGCGTGCTCTGGTGTTCGCATTTCTGGCCCTTGGGTTACGAAAGTAAACGCCCTATTTTGTACTTGCGTACCTGTGTCTTTGCGACATTTTCTGGTGGAAGTGCGGGGTACGGTAGATGATACGGTCCCCTGAGAGCGCACCTGACGCAAGTCCATCGAGTAGCTCAGCCGAGCTTACCCCTGTGCATGTACGTTCCAGCCGTCGTCTCCAGGGACTCGAGCCACAGCACGGTTTGCTGCCTGAACATCAGAGGACTATGAATCAAACACCGCCTAACGTCACCGCGCCAGCACCAGCGCACCTGGTTATCAACCAGCCGAAGACGCCGAAGACATTTCACGGAGCTGCTTTTAAAGATGCCGAGGACTGGCTAGAGCATTTCGACCGGGTCGCCGTCATCAACGATTGGACCCCAGAGCGTAAGCTACGCTATGTGTACTGCTTCCTGGAGGACTCCGCGAAAACGTGGTTTGAGAACCATGAATCAGCGCTTACGTCATGGGATGAGTTTCGCCGGCAGTTCCTGAAGGCATTTGCCCGAGAGGACAGGAAAGAGACAGCGGAGCGTGCTATAGAGGCAAGAATTCAAGGCCCTTACGAAAGGGTGACGACCTAAGTAGAGGACATGGATCGGCTTTTCAAGCGTGCGGAGCCCTCTATGTCCGAATCCAAGAAAGTTCGCCACCTAATGCGTAGTGTTAAAGAAGAAATTTTTGCCGGCCTGATTCGAAACCCGCCTGCGACACTTGCGGAGTTCCATGAGGAAGCCACTGCCATGGAGAGGGCCCTTCAACAGCGTGCCAGGCAGTATAACCGTGGTGTACATCCAAGTGAAGTCGCTTCTGTCACTCTCGGCAATGACATCAGCGCATTGCGAGAGCTTATCAGAGCTCACATTAAGGAAGAGCTACAAAAGATGCAGATGACTGCTTCACCTGCAGAGCAGCTCTCCATTGCGGAGATGGTACGCGCCGAGCTACGGCAAGCCGTTCACGCTCCCCTACCGTCCGAGGCGCCACAACAGAGGCACTCCGTCGAAATGAGCTATGCGGAAGCAGTGCGACGGCCTCCATCGTGCAGTTCAACCAGTGTATTTTACCCCAATGAGCGACACGCTCAGAAAATGGAGGTAGGCTTCCGTCCTCGCAGCTCACCGTTGATCGCCGAAGCAAGACCGAGAAAGAGTGACATCTGGCGTACACCCGACCGCAGGCCCCTTTGTTTCCACTGCGGGGAAGCCGGACACGTCTACGAAAGATATCCATACCGTCGTGTGGGTCTCCGTAGATTTTCGCCTAATGCCCCTCGTCCACGACCTGGCGAGCGACCACTGAAAATAGAGAGTTTCATCTCGAATCGTCGCAGTATGGAACATCGGTCGCAAGAGTCTCGCTCGTCGTCGCCTGCTCGCTAAAGGTCACCGAGCCCAGCCTATTCACGCGGCGCTCCGAGACGCCGTTCACCCAGTCCTGCAAGTCGGGAAAACTGAGTTCAGCGACCTCCGGAGGTGAGGCCGCTGACGCTGACTCTACGGAAGATCCTCCACTACGACGACACCGACGGCAGCAAAAAGATGTACAGACGCAGTCAAACGTGGTACGAAGAGTGGTGACATCAAACATTGCGGTAACTGTGGACGACGAAGAAGTAATGGCGCTAATTGACACTGGAGCAGACACTTCCGTTATGAGCATGGGTCTTGCCTGCAGGCTGAAGAAGGTTTCCACCCAGTGGGCTGGGTCGCAGATACGTACGGCAGGAGGCCATCTTCTCACTCCGGTGGGACGGTGCACAGCGCGAGTCAGTATTCACGGATTTACGTATCTCGGAGATTTTGTAATACTGCCGAGTTGCTCGAGGGACCTAATTCTCGAACTGTACTTTCTGCGTAATAATGGAGCCGTGATTGATTTGCAAGAGCCGCAGGTGACGTTTTCTACGGCACACGCTTTAGCGCACAAGCCTCACAGCAGTTACGTCAATGCTTTGAAAATTGTTGACGATGACGTCACGTTACCGCCGAAGAGTAGCATGTAGACCTTGGTAGCCTGCGACGTTTTTGATGAATTCAACGACTATGAAGGTATGGCAGAGGCAAATATCCCGCTGCTGCTCAAAGGAAACATCTGCATAGCCCGATGCCTTGTTCGGTTAGAGAATAAACGCTCTCGAGTTCTGCTGACCAACTTTAGCAATGAGTTCCAACACGTCCCTAGAGGCACTACTGTCGCTTTCCTCAGTGAAATCGCCGACTTTTTCAATATCGGCACATTGGATACGACTTCACCGCATGCAAAAGCTTGTGCTGACCTGGGAAGCCGCATTCACGTTAATCCAGACTTGCCAGGTTCACGAAAAGAACGGCTGCTAAACCTTGTGAGAGAATTCTCGGACTGCTTCTCCACAGCATCGAAAGTTCAGCGTACCACCGTTACAAAACATTGCATTGTTATCGAGGAGTCGACGCGGCCTTTTCGCCAACATCCATACCGTGTGTCCCCGAAGGAAAGAGAGGTGATTAAGCGTCAAGTTCAAGAAATGCTGAATAATGACGTCATTCAACCCTCGACAAGTCCGTGGGCGTCACCTGTTGTCTTAGTAAAGAAAAAAGACAACACACTACGTTTCTGCGTCAACTATCGATGGCTTAACAAAGTCACAAAACGCGACGTTTACCCTCTGCCACGGATTGATGACGCCTTAGACCGTCTACGCCACGCCCAGTTCTTTACATCATTAGATCTCAAGTCAGGGTACTGGCAAATTGAAGTCGACGAGGGTGACCGTGAGAAAACCGCGTTCGTGATGCCTGACGGGCTCTACGAATTTAAAGTGCTGCCTTTCGGTCTCTGTTCCGCTCCCGCCACGTTTCAACGCATGATGAACACTGTACTAGCTGGACTAAACTGGCAGACGTGTCTTGTATACTTGGATGATGTCGTTGTGTTTTCAAGCACGTTTGACGAGCATCTTTCAAGGCTAAAAAGTGTCCTCACTGCAATAAGGAGAGCGAACCTTACCATCAAGCCCGAAAAGTGCTACTTCGGCTATCAAGAACTCAAGTTTCTCGGCCACGTGGTGAGCCCGCGGGGTGTTCGACCAGATCCGGAGAAGTTGGCTGCTGTTGCCGATTTCCCTCGTCCTGGAAACAAAAAGGCTGTTCAGCGATTCCTCGGGCTCTGTGCGTACTACCGCCGTTTTGTCGAAGGATTTTCAAAAATTTCGGAACCTCTTACAAGACTGACACGGCCAGATGTGCCTTTCGTATGGACGGAAGAACAACAACAAGCCTTCGTAGAGCTATGCAATCGACTGCAGACAGCTCCAGTGCTGGCACATTTCGACGACACTGCCGACACCGAGATCCACACAGACGCCAGCAACGTAGGAATCGGAGCCATTCTAGTGCAATGGCAGAACGGCGCAGAGCGTGTAATCGCTTATGCGAGCCGCAGTCTCACAAAAGCAGAGGCTAATTACTCTACCACCGAAAAAGAGTGCCTAGCAGTCGTTTGGGCCATTAGCAAGTTTCGACCCTACCTATACGGCCGGCCATTTCGAGCGGTCAGTGACCACCATTCGCTCTGTTGGCTTGCCAATCTACGGGATCCATCAGGCCGCCTCGCCGGCTGGAGCCTCCGCCTTCAAGAGTACGACATAACGGTGATCTACCGATCAGGACATAAGCATACAGATGCTGACTGCCCGTCTCGTGCTCCTATTTACCCGACGTCATCTGACACTGAACAAGATTTACCGTTTCTTGGCATCGTCGATGTGGTGCGGATGGCTGAGCTTCAACGTGAGGACACTGAGCTACTTCCTGTCATCCAGCATCTTCAAGGAGAAGACGTTATCGTCCCACGCCAGCTCTCGCGTGGTTTAACAACGTATTGCCTGCGAAACAATGTTCTCTACAAGAGAAATCTTGAGAGCAGCCAGAAAACTTTCCTTCTCGCCGTTCCAACGGCACTGCGTGAGGAAGTTTTGCAGGCGTGCCACGACGATCCTTCGGCCGGTCACTTAGGCTTTGCTAGGACATCAGCGCGCATTCGACAGAAGTACTACTGGCCACAGCTGTATTCGTCCGTTCAGCGCTATGTCCGCACCTGCCGTGACTGTCAGAGGCGTAAAGTTCCACCCGCAAAGCCCGCCGGTTTCCTCCAACCTTTAGATCCACCTCGAGCACCATTTCAGCAAGTGGGAATGGATCTTCTTGGTCCCTTCCCTACTTCATCCTCAGAAAATAAGTGGATAATCCTCGCAACCGACTATCTGACTCGCTATGCAGAAACCAAAGCTGTGCCTAAGGAAACTGCAGTTGAAGTCGCCAGATTCTTTGTCCACGACATTGTTTTGCGCCATGGTGCACCTGCTGTTCTCATAACCGATCGCGGAGCAGCATTTACGGCAGAGTTATTGCAACAAGTCACCAAGCTGACGCACACCAACCACCGGAAAACAACAGCTTATCATCCCCAAACGAACGGCTTGACGGAGAGGTTAAACAAAACACTGGCTGACATGCTATCTATGTATGTTGATGTAGAGCACAAAACGTGGGATGAAATTTTGCCGTACGTCACGTTTGCTTATAACACCGCTGTGCAAGAGACCACAGACCTAACACCATTCGAGCTTGTTTATGGCCATCGCGTCACAACACCGCTAGACGCTATGCTCCCCGTAGACCAGGACACCAGCGGAAATGACGGCGTTGACGACTCCGTCGAGAAAGCCGAGGGAGCCCGCCAGCTTGCACGGAACCGTATTCGCGCCCAGCAAGATATCGACGCTCGCCGTTATAACCAAGGCCGAAGGAACGTCCACTATCAACCAGGTGACTATGTATGGGTGTGGACACTAGTTCGACGTCGTGGGCTTTCGGAGAAGCTATTGCGACGCTACTTTGGCCCTTACGAAGTTGTGCGCTGCCTCAGTGACGTGAATTACGAGGTAGTTCCCCAAAGCTCCGACACCAGTTTAAACCGAAGACGTCCACGTCGAGAGGTAGTCCATGTAGTACAGATGAAACCATATCACGCCCACGAGTTATGAACACTTCAAACTTTTCCTTATTATCCACAACAGCGTGGGCTTTTTTTTTCGTTGGCGTGATCATTTTTTTTTCATCACCAGCTCTAGCATCTCAGTCAATCGACCAGGACGGTCGCTCTTGAAAGGGGGGAATTTACACAAGGTAGGCTGGCAACTACAGTAGCCAGCCTCTGAGGAGGACAACGAAGTAGTTCTGTGTGTGCGTGCTCTGGTGTTCGCGTTTCTGGCCCTTGGGTTACAAAAGTAAACGCCCTATTTTGTACCTGCGTACCTGTGTCTTTGCGACAATATTGCCTGGCAGAAGCGTAAAATCGTGCCAAGCATCAGAATATGTCAACTGCAGTACAAGTGGGTGTTTTAAAAGCCTACTCATTATAAAGCGCTCAGACATATTTGATAGTCCTCAGCAGTGAAAGTGTCAGCAAAGTGAGCAGCTGCATAGGTTCACGTGTCAGATTTCGGTTTACTGAGAGTCTGCTGTACTTCCTCATTAGAGAAGCCAGTTTGTGCTAGTGGTAACTACACATATAGAAGCACTTTTTACAAAACCTTTGATTGATTTGTGGGGTTTAACGTCCCAAAACCACCATATGATTATGAGAGACGCCGTAGTGGAGGGCTCCGGAAATTTTGACCACCTGGGGTTCTTTAACGTGCACCCAAATCTGAGTACACAAGCCTACAACATTTCCGCCTCCATCGGAAATGCAGCCGCCACAGCCGGGATTTGATCCCGCAACCTGTGGGTCAGCAGCCGAGTACCTTAGCCACTAGACCACCGTGTCGGGGCATTACAAAACCTTTGTAGCTCTACCAGCGCACCCTGAAATACTAATCGCCCAAATGCATCATTACACAAAAAGGCAAGCATTGAAGGTGTACTTAACCCTTTAATGCCTGATTTATGACACTGCCAAAAAAAAATAATAAAATTGTTTTCATTCTCCAGTTTCAAATAACAACTTTCAAGTGATTCTGCAGTTAGATCTAAACTGCAAGTTTAATGCATACATTTATGTATTTTTCAAATTTTCAATATGCCACAGAAGCGAAAACCTTACAATAAAAAAATTTACTGCAGAACAACATAACATGTCATGTCCCACCTCATGGGTGCGTGCGCACGAAATAAACAACATGATTGAAGACAAAACTTGTGTCGCCCGCGAGGAAGAACGAAGAAGCGAGAGCTGTTGCACCCACTTCGCACTTTCCGTCATCAGCTACAAAAGAATTGGTTCTAGCATAAAATACCTGAGACAAGACAATGCTAGATATTTTATTTTGAATGCTACGTTCCCCATAAATACTTGACAGCAGGCATTAATTGCCAAACACATTACGTGATTTGCTTGCTCGGAGTTTTTTGGTATGTCATGAATTTCCGAGACTTGGCATTAAAGGGTTAAGTTGGCGACACTGACGTGCTTAGTAATATTGTTGCAATTACTACACTTACTGTGACAAGAGTCTGGCAGCAAATTTTTTTTTGACCACCTTTGCATGATATCCTCAATTCTGTGGTAAACGTAATCCCAAATTACATGAACGGTGTTCAATCCTATGCTGTATCCTGTGTTACTGCACAGACAGTGACAAAGAGAGCATAGGTATGAATCAATGTTCTCAAAATAATTTCACTTATTTATCCACTATTCACCCCACACCCACTCAAAACAGCTTGTATCACTAACCATGGTGACATGCATGGCTTTCCGGTCAGCATCGCTGAAGACTGCCACTGAGCGAATGCCTAGTTTTCTAGCAGAGCGAAACACACGGCAGGCGATCTCACCCCGGTTGGCAACGAGAATCTTCTCGATGGATCGCCGCTGCACTGGCACTGAAGTGCTGGCACCTACAATAGTATAAAGGGCAAGTAAGAAGCGGCAAGTGATAAGGCTGTTTATACCAGGGGTTGGCAATCTTTGAGGCAGATGGCCAAGTTGCTGCAGGCTATATGGCAAATCTAGGGGAAGTGGGGGAGATTTGCAGGCAAAGCGTAAAAGTTTGGAAAATTGACAATAATTTGCAAAGCTAGGTTAGAAATGATGTTTATTTGTAGCACGCACGCAACAAAGTAGCAATAAAATGTAGGCTGCAAGTGAGAATCCTACTTTGGGTCAAAACTACCAGATAGGTAGTTGTGGCGTGTGAAGAAAGCATGCAAAACACAAGTTTTGCTTGCTTCCTCCAAATTTGCCTTTTCTTTTATCGCTTTTAATTAGCTTGCACGCCAAAGAGGATGCATAATTCTACTGCAACTCAAACACGCTCTTAGGCACGAAGCCACATTCAGAACTGTCATACACTGTAGATCATTGGGCACATTCTTCGAAGGTTGTAGATTCTGTCTCTGTCGGCAGCAAGTTGTTTAACATCGAAAGCTGTTATTTCTTTTATCACAGATCACAGCGGCCGTAAGGTAGCTGTCTGCCGCTGCCGACATTCGTAACTACTTTCACACGAAACAAGAAAAACGGAGCAAGAAAAAAATTTCTATAAATGCTGGCCACTATTACTATCATCATCAAACATGCACGAGCACCTTTAACAGAGGGCAAGGTGGTATAACCAGCGATTGGGTCATTGACTAATTCCGTCCCATTACAAAAGGCTCGGCCATAATTATTCATCGTCATCAGCCACAGCTCGAAGCAAAGTGCACATAATTCCTTATGGATGCCTAGTGGGTATGACGCTTCTCCACAGAGTGACGAACATTGACATAGTAGGCACTTCATACTTCATGAAAATTGTGATGTTTATGGCGATATAGCTTCAATACAATGTACAGTTATCCTAGTTGCCCTAAAAGAGTCTACAGTGGGCTCTAGAGAGGCTGCGCTTCCAGTTTTCATTTAACTGTGCAGCATGTTCCACGCAGGCCTGGGGGTTTTTTACATCTGCTTTAATACTTTTCCATTCATGTCATAATTACCACGCTGCAGTGAAAAGCTACAAATAATTACCCCTATGCTTCCATTGGCTTCGTTTTATGTTGGTTTAATTAGGTTCTATTTAACAAAGGGCGAAGCTCTTGGCCCACTCCCTCATTGCTGCAACAGCAATTGCAGGGTTTATGCTCTGCTTGCTTTAAGAAAGAAGGTGCCAATCCTACTGGCGAGTTAATATTACAATTACTTTTCATTACTTTTACTTTTATTACTTTTAAATTTCATTTACGTTTAAGAATAAAAGCAGCACAATTGGCCTCTACATCAGTGGTTGCCGTGAGTATTTCGCCAATGATAAACCGTTGAAGCTGGTTGTATACAAAATTCTAGCAGCACTGCTGATGCTATCATTCTTCTTTTACCTGGCTCTCTTACTTTACAGTTTTCTTTTCTTCAGTGTGATAAATTATGCAGCGAGCACCGATTCTTGCATTGATTGCTCTCACACTGCATATAATGAGATACTGAACCCTGTCAGTTTTCTGGCTCTTTGTTCCTGGCTAGAGACCCACGTAATTATTGACAGTGATGCTGAAGACAACAATTCCACCATGGATTCTTTCAAGCTGGAATACCGTTAGACGAATATTTCAATGGATTCAGTCAAGCAAAAATGAAAAAAAAAAAAACACATATGACAGCTCCACTTTTGTGAAACCTGAAAAAGTGCGTAGCACAGGCACCCAACGATTACCATTCGTAGAGTTCCCAGTGCTACATTTACCAATGTGTCAATGGAGCTGATGTTTGAGGTAAGTATGCAGAACTTCCTGGGCACTAGTAGAATCCCATTAGAGGGATTCACAAACTTGGCGTGCGACATGTGCACTACTTTTTGCTGCGCTTTATCGGCTTCCTGCTTGTGACAGCGATTAGGTACGTGTCATCTGCAGCGAGTTCCATCAGGTTGTTTTCCTCATCACATATAGCGACACTGAGGCAAGGGAAAATGCATTTGCTCGCACAGGGAGGGAAGGCTGTGTCACCCTCTTTAGTGCAGCGCTGGGGTCATTCACATGTTTTCAAAACATTCTCATTGATTTTAAGTTAATTGATGCACTTACTTGTTGGTTACTTCCATTGATTATATCACAAAAGTTCTACCTTCATTTTAACACGATTTTGATTATTGCTAGTGTTATTATGACCTGTATTGAATGCTTTACTGCAAGAGTAATCACATCACACGAATTGCACAAATGTACGACAAATCAGGCCCATAAAGTGCTACGCAGTCGAAAGTCTTTCCTGACGATGGGATGGGTAGCAGTATTACGGACTACTGGGCTTGACGACGGGCAGCGAACTTTTGACACTTGGTATGATGAGGAGACGTAACGTGACACACCTGCTGTTAATATCTCGGTAGCACAACTTGCCAAGCAAGTTCCCTGTGTCGGCATTACAAATATTTAAATTATAAACAGAAAAGAAATGTTTTCTTTGGCTTGGTCATAGAGTATAACTTTAGCTATACTTTTTTTTTTTCTCTCTATCTTGTGGAAGCAATACGATTGGTATTTCAAACAGAAAAAGTGGCTTCAGAGTATGTTGGCACTTCAACCCTCACCTCTGTGTTTAGCGTAAAAGATGGCCTCGGAGCTGCCTCTGACTATTCTGTCAACCTCGCATATCTTTTGCTGAGATTTTTTTTTCCCCTTTCACAAACTCCTTAGCAGAAATGCAAATAAGGGCTTCACGCTACGCAACTAACGGTCAAAATATGCCCTCGCATTTCATTTCTCTGAGACTGTAAGAGCTGACCACGTCAATTACAGAATTTAAAAAACCACGCCACATCAGCTGGGCAATAACGAAAGAAAATGTGCCGAAATAAAATGCAAGGAGGTGAATATCTCTTACACAAACGTTGACTGTACAGGACACCCCAGCATCTTGTCTTCGCTTTCGAAAGGGAGATTTGGCTGGAGTTGGGAGAAAAAACAAAGAAAGTGAGTTGTTTAGTGAGAGCGATACCTGCGCCGCTTATCGTGTAACATGAATATATTAAACAGATTTACATTAAGCAAATACACTTCTCTTGACATACCGCGGAACTGCTATGTTACGGGAAAAGTCACAAGCATGACAACAACGATCGCTCAGCGCAACGTTTAAAAAAAAACAGGTCCACCGGCGAACGTGCGTTGGAAAATGATACGAGCTAGTGAGGCGACCCTCAGGCGATCGATCGGACTATCCGAACGAAAGGGAAACTGAAATGGGATGCCGTACTTCAATTGCTAGGACAACATGCTCTGGTAATCATATTTTGACACGTTGCACCTCCTAAAAGCACAGTGCTGTGTCAGAATTCTCTCACGAATTTCACGAAAGCGGCATTACCGCGCGGAAAACGAAAAATACCTACCTAAAGCATTGCAGACGAGCCCAGCGCATGTGTGCGGCCATCGTAGGTTTGTGGTTGCTTGACTGCTAAACCAAGCCTTCGCCAATCACAGCACTACGTAGGTGTTCTGCGACTACGTGCTGCGAGCGGCAGTGGGGTCATTTGCGCGGGAAACGTTGAGCCGTGATTTTTGAAACTTTTCAACTGCTGGAAGTGAACGTCAACGCTACGTGTCACGGTGTCGTACCACGCGTGTCACTGTGCTGCTATAAATACTACTGTCACGTCCAGGAGATGCCACCAGACAATGTTCGGCGGTAGGTGTCCTCTGTTTTAGCCAGCGGTCGGGCTGTTGGCTGCATGCAGCTAGTGGACGCGCGTCAAAGCGTTTTGTGTGTGTGTGGTTTTGTGTGGACGTTTGTATATGTAGTCACGATACAGTGAACTAGAAGACGGCACCGATGACTTCGGATTAATTTGGGTTCTGTTTTGCTTCTACTTTTGCTTAGCCCGCGTTATGCGGCGAAAGGGTGATGGCTGCGGACCGCCTCATTCTGATCGGCATAAAGGATTTCACTGGCGAAACAGCGGAAATAGTTGCGCTGTGAGTGCAAACACCGAGCCTTTTCGGCGAGCGGCATCATATTTATTTCAAGTTGAAGAACCTGTCTAGCGAGCCCAAGGTTGAAGATGGTTACGGATAATATGTGTACGGGTCTCTCCGAAAGGTGCTAGCACTTTTGCGCTGTGTTGCTACAGACAAGGCCTTATCAGCTTTCGAGGTAACTACGCTGCGACTCGTGCTGCCAATTGCATGTATCCCATGCCGTCAAAAGCTGAATACGCATTCATATTGGAGCTATGCCTGGTCCAGTCTATCTTGAGCAGGGGCGTAGTCAAGGGGTGGCACAACGGGCACGTACCCCCCCCCCCCCCCGAATTTTTTTTTTTCACCATGGCATAGAAAGCGAAAAATGGGTGCCCCCCCCCCCCCCCCCGAAAAATATTTCTGGCTACGTGCCTGATCTTGAGATATTGCAAATCGTAGTTTCGAAAGAAGTGCTCCTTTCTTTCCGTTCGCCGATCCTTGTTATTAGGTTTCTAATGTATAAGGTCGCGTGCTTCCAAACACTTTCATATTGGCAGTAGATGATGTTCAAAGTATATATATACACGCACACTATACGAATGCGCGTGGACATGCTGTATTAGCGCATGAACATACATACACGCACGCTACGCACCCGTGACCTTTGCGTGCGCGTTTATACCAGTGTTGCGGAATGGACACCCACATTCCAATTCTATCCCGGGGAATTGCACCGTAATTTCGTTCTTTTTAATTCCACGGAATGAAAGAACTTAGCCCATTCCCACTGCGGGGATGGCCACCAAGGTCAATTTCATTCCTACAATTCCTCAACTTTGGAAAGGCACATCTTGATAGCTTTATCGAGCTGAGAATGATTGTAACAGCATAAAGCTGATGTCATCGGATGCATAAGAACTGCAAAACTACACTAAACACGTTACCACGGTCGATAGATAGTATACCTTCGTGACTTATCCCGTGCAGTACAACCACACTTCTAGTTGCCACAGGGGCTAGGGGCAGTTTTATCGCTAGCAATGGTATCTGCATGGTCAGCACAATCTGAAAAAAAAAAAAAAAGTTATTAAACAGTTGGCAACGCATCCATTTACTTGTTTCGAGCGTATTTTACTGCCTTCGTGGCATGACTCTTTACTATAGCTGGCAGGTGATGAAGCTTGAAAATTTTTCCGTTACTAACCAGGAATACTTTCATGGTGTTTTTAACTAAGTAACTACTAAGCCGTGCACATACGTTACTAGGCTAAATCTTTCGTAAACACCACCGTATATCTTGCGGTAATCGTGACTTAAAATTTCGTCGATCACTTTGGAATGAAAATTTCGTGCTCGGTGATGGCACACATATATAGAAAGGCAGACAACTGTGCACAAAACGCCCATGATTTTTCTGAACTCAATGGCTGCTAACCAGTCCACAGAGTGCTATTCCAAATAAAGCAGGAGCATAAATAGCCTACAATATACGGACAGAATTATAGTAAGTGCGTTGCTTATAAATTTACCATGCTTATAATAAGCGAAGTCTTTTTAAATTTAAATGTTTAAGTTTGAAAAACAGCACGTCGACGAAAATGTGCTCTATTTTCGGAAAAAGACTGAATTCCATTCCCGCTCTATTCTTTGGAAAATGCACTTAGTTCTATTTCCATTCCGGGGTCGCGAAAATGTGGAATGATTCCGGATTCATTCCAATTCCGGAGTGGCACCTCATTAACACTGGTTTATACACACATGCGAAATCGAAAATGTTCGGGGGGAAAGGATTGCAGCAGCTTAATTTGAGGATGCGTAGCACTACGACTTGCGTAGCAAACAAGCATAAGCGAAAAATACTGTCACACGTAACGCAACAAATTTCCTAAAGCGCCGCGCTTTAGAGAAGGCCGAATATTCATAAGCATCCACTCATGCTAAATAAAGTACTCACCTAGTAGAATTAAGCTGTCGCGAGCGAATTGATTAGAACAAACTACCTTAGTGTCCGTCACCTGTTTTGCAATGCGTATAGTTTATTATTGGCGCTGTTCTCCGTCGCGCGTCGTCTGCATCCGTCAGGAAGTGCTAATAGAGCTACTGTATATGCTACTTTCGTATGTGCTACCTAAAGGTAGCACATGCAGTAACTCTAAGTGCTAGAACGATACGATGCCATCTTTCCACCACGATGTCACGCATTTCGACCCACTGCAATAATCTCTGGACATCGCTTTCTTATTTTTCGGGCTCGCGCGTCCGGCATGGCGAGAAGAAAGGAACTATACGGCTGCGTCTTAACGCGCGCAACGTAACGAATCTTTCCTTCCTCCGTGTGGTCACATGTCTCCTGTCAAGGTTGACCCTTGTTCATGTCCTCCGAGCGCCCGCCATCTCGAAGGCTATGCCCTGTTAGCGCTGTTTTCAAGCGCGGCCGCTAGATAGCAAGCGCTCAGTCAGAGTCGCGATATTTACATTGATGCGTCCCTCTGTGATGCTGCCCATTTGCCAATGGGCTCAATGTTGACCAGTTGCTAATTGGGTGAAATTTCGCTTCTGCGTCAGAGAACAACTGTACAACGTCGTTTTTCAAATTAAACTCGTCAGTTCCAAATAAATAACTGGTGTTTCTGGAAGTCACGTTCAGTTGCAAGTTACATGCAGTATCCCACGCAATCCCACGTACGTTCATTCGCAAGGCGCAACCTTAATAACGTGGACAATCCGAAGTGTTCCGGTTGTGTAAAGAACCTCCGCGAGAACTTTCTTTCAAACTTGAAGAATGAGGGTAAAAAAAAAAGACTGTCATCTTTAAAATCTTGACCCGGATCATGTAGTAAAGACAATTGCTAAAGACGGTTTCGATTGTGTACATAGCAAGTCATAGTATCTAACGTATCAAGTTGTTTTTTTTTACAAATTTGTTACCAATGCAAACTTATTTGTGATATTTAATATTAAAAAAAGTTTTTCATCGCATTACCAAGGTAACAGGCGTTGCAGCTGTGGCTTTTTAGCATGCCCGTCATTCCAGCAGCATCGATATCACGCAATGTCTCCCATAGCAAATGTTCATTCACATGCGTTACGCGTGTTTTGGGCCTGTGAATGAGCAATAACGTTGCTGTTTTTTAGTTTCTATTTGCGATTGCTCCAGCGGGTGTTGACGAAATGAGTGAAGAGAAAGAAATCAAAGAAGAGGTGCACTTAAAAGCCGAATTATTGAGTATTTCTTGTTTTAGAGCAGTACCCATCGGCGAATCGAACAAACACCGAGCTAGCCTAACTACTACGACAATATTTTCCATCTCAAAAACTTACAAAATACTTTGCAAACTGTTTTTCATGAATTAAAACTTACACGAGTGATACGGGCTTAAAGTTCGATCAGCTGCATGGTACATTAACTCTACACGACTAGCTATTCCAGGCTGTTTGTGTCGCGTGTGTTGTGTTTTAACGGGCGTGTGTTTGTATTTGACAGGCCGCTCAAGAATTCCGCATAGATCCGGAGTCCGAGCTGCGTTTTGAAGTAGAAGGAAAAGAAAAGGTCACTGTTGAGGTAACTAAGTTTTGATTCATCGTGTGACGTTTCAGATCCCCAACTGAAGTCCTTTTTTTTTTCCCGTTCATTAGCTGAAGTCGGGCCTTGCAGAAATATTTGGCGTCGAGTTGGTGAAAAACAAGAAGTTTACGTTCGGACCTGGGGCCAAAGTTGCAGTTTTCACGTGGCATGGGTGCACGCTGGAGATATCCTTTCTGCGTGTTTGTGTCTACGTGTGAAGACAAGAGACCCAGTTAAGGGTCTCGCAGCGAGATTTTTTGTTTTAGTAATTGTGTTGCAGTGTTCTCGGATATCTAGAAAACTGTCCTGTTGCAATCAAGCGCCTGCCTTCTCCTGAGAGACCACTCTCGCTTGTGTTGTTTCGCTTCCAAAGCATTGCATACTACTGAGAAATCCTGTGCATTTTTTTTTAACTTTGCAGAGATACCTTATTTACAACTCTGGTGACAACATTACGATATTACAAATGCAACACCGTATTTCTAGCGTACTTGTAACAAAATTATCTCAAGTGAATTGATGCACAAGCACCCAGACAACGGGCTACGTTGTTTTTACTGTCACGAAACCTACAGTTACGTGTTTCGTTGAAAAGCATACTTTCATGCAAATTCGCTGTGGAACCATTGGTTTGCCTGTCCAAACTTATCACTGTCAAGCCATGCATGACTATGCATCGGTGGTATACTTACTTCGACACATGCCTTAACATTGCCTTTTACAAATAAAATACCAATAAATAAAATGCAGTATGGAATGTACCTGTAAAGACGTATCTTTAAGTTTGGCCGCAGTGAAATTGCCACTTCTATATACCAATACTAAGGAGTTTTCGAATAGGGCTCCAAATTTTGGGGCCCTTAAGCTCTTTGCATATTCACGGTTTGGATCAAGCTAAAGCAGTGAGCTTTCTGATAGCGTCTGTGGTGCTTTGGACACTCCCCCTATTAAAGGTCGTTCTAGTCTTGGCGGGGAACTGGTTATTTCAGTGGGTGCGGTCACGTTTGTCTGACACAAAGCTTTTGGGGCAGGCTTTAGGGCTCCCACTAAATTCGAGAAATAGCAGTCTTTGGGTCCCGTGCATGCACAGTGGCCTTGATGCTATTTTTGGGGGGCCCCAAAACGATTGAGGCCCTTATTCAAAAACTCCTACTAATAACATTGCTGTGTGACCTGTTGCGTACAGCACAGAGATATTTTGTATGAATCGTCTTAAACGCTTGTTAGAAAATCCACTGCAGAAAATTTCCTTAGCACAGCTTACCTCTGTGGAAAGACAGAAGTTGCCTACGTGGCGAAAGAAACACCCATGATATTCTACGCCAACATCCATGCAGTGCTGGAGCAAATGCGGCAGAAGTGTGAAGAGGACGATTCGAAAGGACCCACAGTAAGTGAAGCTCTCTGTAATCCATTTCCTTTGCTGTCTCTTGTGTTCTTTCTTTATTCTTTAGGTCAACTGGAAGAAAGTATCAGTCACTTAAAAAAAACATATTTTGCATGTTACAAGTCAGTTAAAATTACTCGATTATTTCTTTTATCAAATATATTCATGGAGCCACAACACTCATTATGCAAAATTCATTGTAGGTGTGTGGGCACTTTAACCTGAATATATTGCTCATCGTTTTGGTTTAGATTTATGTTAATGCTGTTGCTTCTTGCTTTATATATGGCCCCTTTGACCTGGTCATGGTGGTGAAAAGGTTCAGGTGCCTGGACTTTCTTTATCATCACTGGCCATGGTTGCTTGTCACCAAGCTGTGAGAACATAAGCACTTAAAGGGGACACTAAATAGAAAAATGATTTTTGTGTATTAGTAAGGTACAATTTCACAGTCCCGAAAGCACCACTCTTACCTCGAGATGAAGCTCGGTAAGCAAGAAAACATGCAGAAGGAAGATGCTGGTAGAGATACAACCTCAATATTCCTGCACCAAACACCGTGATGTTATAGATTTCGATGGCGTGTACTGGGTTCCACGTAGTTTTTAATTGTAAAAACTGAAGTTGTCATCTGTAGGTGCTGTGAACCCAGCATACAAAGTTTCAGAAAATTTCATCGAGCCCATGTCTTCAGAATAAGAAAAATACACTTAGAAATTTGTGATGTCACACGTGCACATTTCGGCACAAATTTTAAAAGAGAAACTCCGACCTTAATTTTCTCTGTTAGTAATACGATGGTGAAACTTGTGACATTAGAGTTCCCAGATTATAGCTTATGAATCTAAATCAAGTTATTGTTTTACCTTTGTGTCCATTAAAAGAGATTTAAAGTAAAGATATGACTTCAGAAAGAATATGCAAATGTAATTCATCTATCGGAGAAAAAGTGCACTATGTGCTTCATATAGCTTACTGGCATGCTGTTTTTTTTTTCCTCTTTCTCTCTTCTGCATCTGGAGAATCGTGACCACAGTAGTAGCTACCTATGTTGTTCGCTATGAGGATCTTAAGCAGCCATTTTTTTTTCTTTTTTAAATATGCCTGACTAATTGGTGCAATAGAGTGCTTTGTGGTAAATTGCTCTTCTGTGCTGAGCAGTACTATCGGATTATTCAGCACACCGTCACAGTGTCTATGATGAGTTACAACCTTGGGTGCTCCGTTTTTTCTGAGTGGTTTTATTTTGTGTGCTTTCACCAGGTGTTGGTTGTTGGACCTACAGATGTTGGCAAGAGCAGTCTCTGCCGGATACTCCTTAACTATGCAGTTCGTCAAGGTCGACGGCCTATCTTTGTGGACCTTGACGTTGGGCAGGTAGGCATTCCATATTACGAAATCATCACTGAGGAATTGTCACAACTATGATGATACATCATTAAATCATCATTAATAGAAAATAATTTTAGCTTTGTAAGCAATTGACCTTCACAATATTCCAAACAAAAAAGAAGAAGCCACTCTTACTGCGTGGAAAGAAGGCAAAGCCAAAATAAGTATGGTGGTGCTACTTTATAGTTTCTATACCAGATTGTTGTCTTCGGTTGATAGCCTCTGCATCGGCTCATTAATTTTTTGTAATTAAATGCACACATATATGCAATCTATAATGGCTGGAGATTTAACTTAGCAACGAAGCGAAAAAACAGTGCGTAACACAGAACAGTGACAGAGACGGACTAAGCGCGAAACGAGATGGCAGGTTAATTCCTCGCACACCACCTCATGGCATCAAGTCTGCCAGAACGGGACCCTCGCTATGAATGAAGGAAAGTGTAAACTCAAAGGCGAGGGAGTATTGGCCAGCTGCCACCTCGTAACAAAACCACTGTACTGCGCAATGCCACAACAAGCAATATGAGTGTTCCACACTCGCCGCAGTGGCATCAGGTGGCACTGACTGAGACTCCCACGTTTAAATTCACATATATACCCTATAAAGCAGACGGAGGGACGACCGCCACCGTACCTCAGTGGTAGAGCATAGGACGCATTAATCGAAGGCCACAGGTTCGGATTTTGCCGGTGGCAAGGTATCTTTTCACCCACTTTTCTTTCTTGACATTTACAATTACTTCTAATAACAACTTTTATACCTTTGCTGACATTACGATCTGTTAGTTCCCATTAATATCATGTCTAACAAACAAAACAAGCCCTTAAATTTACACTTTCCTACAATACAATTGAGGTAGCACCGTCGCGGTGGTCTAGTGGCTAAGCTACTCGGCTGCTGACCCGGAGGTCGCGGGATCGAATCCCGGCTGCGGCGGCTGCATTCCCGATGGAGACGGAAATGTTGTAGGCCCGTGTGCTCAGATTTGGGTGCACGTTAAAGAACCCCAGGTGGTCGAAATTTCCAGAGCCCCCCACTACGGCGTCTCTCATAATCATACGGTGGTTTTGGGATGTTAAACCCCACTTATCTATCTATACAATTGAGGTATTGTCAGTGAGACTTTGCTGGTAAATTGAAAAACACTATAAACTTAATTTTCTTTTCTGGTAGCTAACCTTTTATAAAGCCATTGAAAATAGAATTTTGAAAGAATACACCATAAGTATCGGCTAATTTAGCTATTGGCAGTGTTCGTTTGAGGTTTGTAAATGCTATTGTGGGTCCCATACTTACATGTTAGGTAGTTCTCCAATGAACATAAACTATTATATGAAACAGTGCAATAAAGTAGGTGGATTAATGGTGGAAGCTTGTGCCATTATTATTGTAGCATTCACTTCAACTGTCTTCCCGTCTCCTAAAGTGCTCCTCACCAGGTGTACCTATTTTGGGCGGGGAAACACAATGCTTAAATTCTGAGCTCACGATAGTGTTTGCCAAGAGTTGCGAGTTGCATAGCTACGCTCCATGGAAAAAGCTCGAATTTCAAACAGAACTTTGTCTGCGGTTCTCCTCGCGTGCCCTGTGCTTTGAGGTGGGTTGATGATGTACGACACCGAGTGCGACATAGTTAAAGGTGCTGCACAATGCATGTAAGAGAGCTTCGATGTCCACTTCGAGCGGTGGGCGCGGATGGCACCAAGACACTCCAGCGCATTGTGAACTGCAGCGGAACAAGGCGTGTGCAATCACCCATTTGTGGCGTGTGTGTGACCTGCCAATGCATATGCGTCGCGTAATCTTCCAACTCTGGTATGGGAGAATGCAGGGGAGGTAGTTTGACTTGATAAGCCTAGACAGGGTAATTTGCGAGGATGTGAGGCTCACCACCTTGCATCTTGGTCGCACGCTGCTTCAAAATATTTTTATCTCTGTAATGAAGCACATTGAAAAATTTTTGCAGTATAATGCTCTTTATGGGGCACATAACATCCAGAGCCCAACTGAACTTCAGTTGCTATGTGGCCTTCACCAGGCCACGTAGCAACTGAAGTTTGCTATGTGGCCTGGTGAAGAGCTCTTGAACATTGCACCCGCAATTGCTTGTTTTATCACTGCACTGGGCTTGGCTTCCACTTGGATATGTTTTGTAATTTTTTGCTAGTTTCTTTTTTATTCTGGAGGTATGTACTGGAAGAATTCACTGGATATACAGTAGGTTTTAGGGGGACATTTGCTTATAAAGTGCCAGCCATTGAATGCTGAGAGGCAATATACCAGTATATCTCACTTGTCAATAGAGCAACTAGTTTACTAAAATTAATTATCTTTTCACTTCAAGGGACACATTGCAGCTATAAAATTTAAGGTAGCCAGATCGTAAAGACTGATCCTATGCTTAGCATCACCTGCAAAGACCTACCTATTTGAAATATACAACAAAAAATATTAGTATGCTAGTTAACTTTCACCAGCTATGAAGAAAATGATGCTCTTTATTGCCACAATAGGTAAAATCGGCCAGAAAGTGCCAGATAAAAACAAAAAAACTTATTTACAAAAAAACTTGTTTTTGTTAAGTGGCAACTGAAACAGCCTCTGAGACCATAAACTTCGGTGATATGTTTGCTTAATCACCTACGTGCAGTTGGTTTCTACTGATCTGTGACACCCTTTTTTTTTAGGGCCACATATCTATACCTGGAACAATCGGTATGTTCACCATTCTCAGTTTCTTTGTTTCTCACACTTTTAAGCTGCCCATTATTTAGTATTGCATGTGTGTAACCTCATCACCTGACTAATGATATGATAAAGGTGAATGGTATGGTTTTAAAAAGCACACAATGTAATATTTTAGTCCTGATGAAAGATCAATTTTTTAAATATGGTTATAAACAAAAGCATGGTTATAAACAAAAGCAACTGTCTGTATTCACAAAAAAACTAAGTTGTTTAACGACTATTCATTTTCTCTTTCATTGTACAAATAAAGTGCATTTTCAGTACATATAGACTCGCGTGGTGACTTCTAGGTAATATCAGCAGTGTGTGTTGTCATTAGTACTATTAGTATCGTATAAACTGGGCTATAGGTCGATTGGGAATATAGGTCGACCCCCCAAGTTCAGGTTACCGAAAACCGAAAACAACCCGAAATTGCCAAACGACATTTATTTGCGAATTAGGCGCACCGCACCCCGATCGTCGGAGCTCCCCTCAACCACCATCGCAACTATTCCTATTCGTCAGACGAAGCACCACTGTCTTTTAAAGACGAGTGTTGGTCGCTGGCCGCCTCCCACTGTGCGTTGTCTTCCATGCCATACAGCGCATTGCTGATGTAACATTTCTTAAAAGCATTTTCCACCATGAAATCTGGCAAGGAACACCAGGCGGAAAGCACCCAGCCACCAACAGTCACAAGCGGAGGCCTCGGTAGGCGGGCCGTCGGTGTCATTGGGTTGTCGCTGGACATCCGCTTTTGGTACTCCAGCTGCACTCGGTCCTTGAACGGCTTGTTTAGCACAACGTCGATCGGTTGGAGGGTGGATGTCATACCACCTGGTATCACAACGAGGTCCATTTTTCCATTTCCCAGTGCGCACTTCACAGCGTCAGTTAAGTGACCACAAAACGCATCTAACACCAGCATGCTGCAAAGACGCAGCAGTGCACCAGGCTGACGGTTCCAGACGACTCGTATCCATTTGAGCATCATGGCCTCGTCCATGTATCTCTTTTTGTTGACAGCGAACGACAACACCGGGCGAGAACACTTCCTTCGGCATTGTGTTACGTTTGAAAATGATGAAGGGCGGAAGCTTTCTACCATCTGCCATGCATGCCAGCATGACAGTGAGGCGCAAGTGCTCGTTGCCAGTGGACAACAGCTTCATATCTTTGGCGCCACGCTGCATGATCATGGTCAATGAAGGCATCTCAACCACACAAAGGTCTCATCGGCATTGTCAATCTGCCCCATCATGTAGTTGTTCTGCTCCCGAAGCCGGTTCACGAAGCCCTGAATGTTTATAAGCTTGTCCTCGAACTCGTCTGGAAACTTCTGACAGATGGATGTGCACCACTAGAAAGAAAATTCTTTGCGTATCATGAATCGACGCACCCAAGAGTTTGGTGCACGAAACTCTTCTCTTGTAAGCCCAGCTTCTCGAGCTGAGTTCCACAGCTTTCTTGCGAATGGTATCCACGGTCACTGGCAGCGAGCCTGCAATGAACTTCACACACAAAGTTTCCCTAGCCTATTCTCCAGCTGGGGATGAACCACACTTCGCCCACGAAATGACATTTTTCGAGGATTGCACATCTGCAGCTTCCCTTTCTGCACCCTCCAATAGCGCACGCTTTTTTTCTGATACACTAAAGCTGCACTGAGCAGCCATATTCCCATTCGCTTCTGCGTACTCAACAACCTCTAGTTTAAACGCAGCTGAAGACTGCCTTCTCGTACCGCTACTCATATTCAGTGAACGAAAAAAAGACCACTAAATATGAAACACAATGTCAAGCGGAGCGAGAACTTAGAACAGATAGGAGGCAAATCACGAACACAAAGAAACAAACAAGAGAGAAAAAAAAACTGCTATTGGATTTGAATGCAATTATGGCCATGTCCGGCTTCTCATGCACATGCAAGCCACATGTTGCCGGACAGCGGTGCACTGTTGGCTAGACGCCACTATATAAGGCGAGGGGCGACTTTAGCTAGTTGTTTTATTGAAAATATCTCGACCTATATTCCGGTTTATATGGTACTCTTATTTTTTGAATATATGTTAATATGCCACCTAATGTCAGCAAACATAGCTAGCAGCACTTGGGAATTCCTGGCTTGTATCATTTCTCGCAAAGATTACACAACCAATTGTAATTGTGTCAGCACTTCATAGTTGGGATGATCATATACATTTTGAATGCAGGGTGCGTACAGGTCCTTGAAGTCCATAAAAACACTTGAATTTGAAAAATGCATTTTCATGGCTCTTGAAAGTCCAGGAGTTTTTTTACATCTTTAAAATCCTTCAATTTCGTGAGCAGTGCACTCTCACATCGACATCACGACTTTCTAAATGTGGTAGATTGGTGCGTCAACCTTCCAAGCTCCCTGTTTCCGAAGCAGTAATGCGGCATGGGCGTACATGGTCCCATTTTGCAAAAATGCATAGAAAAAAAAAAAGTTGCTTTCGTGGCGAGGGTGAAGAAGTGAATCTAACATCAAGAAATTAGAATGTCACACCAAGAAGGGCAAGAACCTGTTAGATGCAATGCGCCGCTCAAGCCTAAAGGACACACAAAAAGAAAGCGCACAGGAGGAGTGCTGATGAACAACTGTCATAGCTTGGCAGTGGAAGCATGCTGCCTAAATACCAAGATAGATGCTAGAAAAGAACACACATGTATCTACAGAATGGGTGTACATTAGCTACTGTCACAGTTGTTACTTCTTGGTTGTTGAACAACGTGCTGCAAGTGTCAACTGTGTACTCTTAGTGGTGCGATCAAATTTCGAGGCAATAGCAAGCACCGTGTGGGTTTTCTCTATATATGCAAGGACACTTCACATGAATGGTTAGACTCAAGAAACGTTTATAATATATTTTAAGTCATTTCCCAAGTGTTCCTAAAAGCTCATTCTCCTAATTGAGGCCCATCGCGAGCGCACCCAACACTGACGTAGCTGTGTAGGAAGGTCAACGAAAGTTGTAGTAATGTTACACCAGATCTCTAGTGAGGTGAGTGACATCTGGGCTTCCGCCACAAGCGTACCGGCAAAGCATTGCGGCTGCTGCAGCTAGCGGCGCGTTTGTTTTCTGGTGGTTGTGTGCAAGAGCCACAAATGTTGCCGCACCATCCATTTAATGGGACACTAAAGGCAACTATTAAGTCGACGTTGATTGTTCAGATAGCGGTCCAGACACCTCGCAGTGTTACTTTTGTGCCAAGGAAGGGCCTATTTTGAAATAAAATCACGTTTTAGTGGTTTGCATCGGGTTAGCGCACTTCAAATTACCCGCCTCAAGAAGCGGACTGACCAGACCAACTCACGTCACTGTTGCCGTGCACGTTGCCCGGCTTCTACTGCGCTAGTAGCAGCAGATGGAAAGCAGCGGGCGCGACAGCAGCAACAACGACTATTGAACAATTTCCTGCCATTGGCTCCGAGATGGCAGACGTGCTTGGTTCTAGTGGATTCCGCTAGATGGCATGCCCTGTCCAGTTTAACCAGGCGAAAATTGGTCTTTTGAACCACTCGCACCATTCCCCATAGTAACGTCCGGCATTTCTTTTTTCTATGAATCAAACAAATATGAACAAGCAGCATTTTATTACATCTCTTGATGCACGGAAGGTTCTTTATTTAGTGTAGCTAGACCGATTACTAGTGATTAATTGTAGGTGGTCCGTCTAATGTCATCGGGATCATCTTGAGAATGTCCTACAGTGGCGCATGTGTTCTTGTGCATATACCTTAATTTCTGGGTAAGTAGGGCACTGTTCTTGATAATATTGTCGTTTTAGATGTCTTACATTCAGCTTTCACTCTGAAATAAGTTATTTGACTTTAGTGTCCCTTTAAAGCCTGACCACACATACACTTTGAAGCCTGTCAGCGCATAACTTCCTAAAGAGAGTGAGGGAGAAGGTGCGAGAAATTATTGGGGCTGGATTTTTTTTTTGTTATAATTGCAATATCCATATACCTATTGTAAGTGAAATAAAAGTTGTCTTTTTTTCAAGAGTGAAAAATTCCAACTTAGCATGCCATATTGAGTACATGAAAAACTTGAAACAGGTCCTGGAAAGTCCTTGAATATCCTTGAATTTTCGCTATGAAAACCTGTACGAACCGTGTGAATGTCTTGTATCATCTGCAAGAAAGGCAATTGTCATGACTTTGTCAATGTCGTATGTGATGCCCTTGCTAGCAAGTCGAATTGTTTAGCTTCTTGTGCAGCTGGCAATTGTGTGCATGTGCCTTATTATATGTAGATTTATTAATGCTAGTCTATTTTAATTTATTAGAGCTTACTTATTTTGGATTTTTTATTAACTAAAATGGCAACTTGAGGTTGATTCTAGCACAAGTGGGCCAATAAAAAGGTGATACTATTGGTTATGCCACTCAGAAGCTACTGAAGTTTACCAAGTTTTAAAGTTGCACTTGCCCAAGATTTATACCATTCTTCTGAGGCTCCAACTAACATGTCATAGACACATGCGGCAGGCACTTCAACATTTCTTATACAAGCTTTGAATTTCTCTGAACGATTTTCAGGGGCAGCTTTTGGTGGAGAGGCCGGCAGATGTAGAAGAGGGCTTTTCTCAACAGGCACCCCTTGTCTACCATTACGGCCACAGTACGCCAGGGACCAATGCCACATTGTACAATGTTCTTGTTTCTCGACTTGCGGAGGTCATCAACCAACGTGCTGAAAGCAACAAAAAGGGTTAGTTGTGACATGTAGGCCAGTGCTTGAATAAGCAGTCGAGCTTTGCAAAAGGTAATGTAAGCTCTTGAGGATGTGCTGAGGAAATTTGCGCTCCTCTAGTTTCTTGGATATCTGAGCAGTGTAACTGCCTTGAAAAGGCTGTAGTGCTGCATGTTTTCTGACCTGTTTGTGTGGGCCCTGTGGCTGCCTGGTGTCTGCTTACTTTCTTCTGTAATGTATGTAGGTTTGTGCTTAGCGTAAATTTTTAGGGATCACTTGACCGCAAGGCCAATTTATATGCAAGAACGATGCTAATTCAAATTCAGATAAAGAAACATCACACGAAAAAGGGCGCAGCCTCTCGAGTGCTCGTCCACAGCACCCATCCTTGTGTGCTTTTTCGGTCCGTGGTTGAATTAGCGCTGCTTTTACAAATGGATCCATACCCATGAGCTCGCAATCATTCACTTCTAAGCTAATTTATTGTCAAATATAAAGTTTTCTGAGGAACAGCTGTGGCTTTTCTGTGCAGTGAACTACTAATTCTAAAGGGCTTCAAGATTTTTTCTTTTTTTTTTCCTATTTAATTTTTGAAGTACTAGGCCCGCATTCTGCAACAATTGCGAAAGGCGACCGTATCACCTTCGGTGATGTAGAATCTAATGTGTTCAATAACTGTATCCATCTATCACTGTTCAAGATAAAAAATATAACTTCCTGTTAGACAATACATGAAGCATGTTGTGATGCAACACATCTGCCCATGTGCACAGTTTCGATGTCTCATTGTCTCCTATATATGTCCTTTCATTTTCCAAATAAATTTTAGTTGAGAGTTCAGCGCTGTGTCCCTTCTCTGTCCGTATCTGACCCGTTGCGGTGTAAAGTATTTCACGATGTTCAATAACCAGCCAGTGCAATGTCATCGTTCTACTCTTCCCTTTGTTTACGAATGCCTGACAACACAGAAGGGAGCGTACTGTACGAGTGCAGAGCGACCTGAGTGTGGTGTTTTCGAGCATACTCTGACTTCTACGCAGGTGACCAGGCGTGGCTATGGCCATTAAAATGCGTTGAGAGCGCTTTCAATGTGTTTTGCACAAATTGCTAAACACAGTATAGTATTTTAAGAATTTTGCTTTGTGTGAAATTTATATTTATTTTTTTTTTGTTGTTGGGGGTTTTATTTGGCCTATTCGGACAGTTCAGCTGTGGTGTGCTGCTGCAGCGACGTCTTGTCAACATCTCAACATATTGTCGGTTCGCCATAAATCACTAGAGCAATACATAGCTCATCTTCCTGGAAGATTCAAACCACAAAAAAAAAAAAAAAAACACACACACACACACACACTGGCAAAACAATAAGTATTAATAATGCACCAAGGCAACACTCACCGAAAGCTTCAGCATAAAGGTTTCATAATCCATCAAGGACTGAATACTGGAAGATACCGCCAATGTAGACTTCAGCACCCACTGATGCTGATAAGGTGTGTTTTGTTGTTCCAGGCATGTCAGCAGTACCGTAGAGCAGCGTCATGTTTACGAAAATACCAAATGGCACCTGCACTTTTTCGATTTTGCTTGATAGCCTAATCAGAGTGTACCGAAGGCGACACTTTTGCGACTGTCGCCTTTTGCATTAATTTCAGAATAAAACCCTTGTTGACACTATTCGCAACTCAAATGAACATGAGAGGGCGCTGCAGAGTTATAGCATGGCGGATTCTTGGAGGTCACCACTTCCCCTGTCCTAACACAAATATTGAGTTTTCTGCAATGTGATTGCAGTTCACGCTGCTTTGTAGAAGAGGAGCGGGTTGTTGACGTAGGGCATCTTATTTTAGCGCAAGCGCGAGCGGCATTCTTGAAGTGGCCGCGTTGTGTGTAAAATGCACATGGCACACCGCGTCTCTGCGAAACTTGTTTACATACTTCGGACGCCGCAGCGACATGCAGTTACAAGATACAATGGTCATTTAATAGGTTCGAGTTAACAAGTTAACACTGGTGCCTCACCTGGAAAGAAGAAATCTGCTTGACCGTTCGTTTTTTTTCTTAACGGGCCTGCACCATCCCACCGCGCCCCTACCGTGCCCCTACCGTATATGACTGGCGCTTGGACGATTTGGACCTCAGTACGCAGCTTCTCTATATTGCCGCTAGGTGCCGCATGAATTGCTGGAGTCGCGAATTCATTGCTGATTTTCAAGCTTCTTTTGTTAATCTCTTGGTTCACCATTATGAATTTACCTCATTTCTTCATTTGTTTTCGAAATTCCTATCTAGGATAACTTTTTCCATTATGTGCATATTGTTGTAGAACTGAATCTAATCACAATTCTAAGTTCATGTTGATATCGTGGAGAAGGCTATCAGAAGTGTGGCCCTAGCCATGTGAGATCAATTTTTTGTTGAAATCTTGTAAGGTTCCCACTTAGAGAACTTTTGAGGACACTTGTCAAGCAATGAATCAGTGACATATCCTTTCAAAATATTATGAATGTGAATTTTCTAATAAGAGGTTGATCACTAGAAGACAGAACAAAAGCTGAATTTTCACTTTTTTATTTTTGCGGGCCAAGCATTAACTGAAACGAGCATAGATATTCATCAAGCTGTACTTTCTTGGGTTTCTTAGCGTAACGGGCACTTTGAAACATGTTGCACAGCAAACCACAGTGCCTGTACATGATTACATACTTGCCAAGTCTCCAGGATTTCGACCGTTTCTTCCATTTGTATGGATATCATTAAAATCTCCCAAATATCGAAATTTTTGGGCGTGACCTGGCTGAATTGACAAAAATGCAGGTCAATGCGCTTCAGGCATTTCGCGAACTCGCCGCATTTTACTATAAACGAATTTAGGAGGCGTTCATCTAAACGTACAGTAAAATCTCAGTGATGAGAAACCAGTGGCTGGTACAAATTTCGTGAAATTCCCCAGGCAAAATTCCTCCGTGCCTATTAGGCCAAAATTAGAATCTTCTGTACAAACCCGCGCATGATATGAAATTTCGTACCTGAAACCGTCAAATGAAGGCTGAGAGCAGCAGCGTGCTCGGAGCTTCAGAAGTATGCGTGCCACCACCGCACGCACAGTCTTCTACAGTGCATGTGGTTGTCATTACCACAACCGCTGTGGACGAAACCGCGGTGGTTCTTGACACGATCATCTATAGCGACAACGTTAATGACTGAACTCTGACAGTGTCCACACGTCCAACGCTCCGCAAGTAAATGTAATGCTGCTTTTCGCAAACTCTGTGAACAAAACCCCAGCAGATGCGATCATAGATAGCATGGAATGGCTTAGTTTTAAAGGCACCTGCGTAGCCAGCATACACGGATTGAAAACGGAACTACCGTTTGCCGCATCCGCTGGGCACAAAACCACGGTCGCGGCGACGCGATAGCGATCTACTAGCTCCGAGGGCATGCGGCTAATGCAGCAGTAGATTGAAGCCAGTAAAGACGTAAAAAAGGGCTAGAAGCGTTTGGCATTCCTGACAGAGAATCTAGTAGTGAGCACAGCTTTGACCCGCGCCTTCGCAGCAGCCAGCTGCGCCGTCCCATCTGTTCACGTGTGTCCGAGGAAGACACACACAAGTTGTTTTGACGGAAATAGATTTTGCTAGTTGTTTCAGTGACGCAAAATTTCAGGAGTATTTGTGCTTTTCCTTTGAGACTCGCACCTTAGTGGAAAACACTACCCTCGATTGTTCAGCCACTCGAAGCCATTATGAGACCACAACGCCGATGTTCGCGCTTACGATTGGACCCCCCCCCCCTTTTTTGTTACGGAAATCTCCCAAATTCAGAATCCTTGAACTTGGCAGGTATGTGCTTGGGGCATCACCGATTTCATGGAATTTTTCACTGTCCTGGTTACTGCAGTGTAGTAGAAACTCTCAAAACCCTTCAGTTTTAGTCTTTCGCTCTTTTAGCATATAATGTAGACTCGTGGAATCTGAAGCGACCAGGAAGTTATATTCTGTTTAACAAGAGTTCCGTTTACTAAGAGAGGACCAGGGGTGCAAAATATCAGAACGAAACCAATATTGTCAGAAGCACTTGTTTCATTTAGGCAGCAGTTTCATTTAACACATTTTCATTGACTGAGTGTCTACTGTACAATGCAAGTCAGTCTTGTAATCTAGCAATTGCCAAGCTTGGTTCATGACGTTTCAGAGAACTTCAGGGCAGCTTGATGACTGGGCTTTTGTTTATTGCTGTTGCTGTTATTATTAAAAAGTCTCCTCCTGTAGTCACAATTGTGGTATTGATTTTGCCTATTGCAGATGGATAACTGAGCAATATAAATCATAATTTTTTTGTGTCCATTTGAAGTTTGTGTGGGCCTACTGAATTTTTATGCCTGTTGTCTTGTTACTTGCAGCCTGTTTCTCTCGATGCCACACAATTGTACAATTGTTAACAGAGAGCACAAAATACCATTAGAGCTCACTGTATTGCATCATTTCCATTTTCAGCAAGCGCCAGTGGTGTCATCATCAACACTTGCGGTTGGGTGAAAGGAACTGGCTACAAGGCAATCACTCACGCCGCTCTTGCTTTTGAAGGTACGAATTGAAGCAAAGGTTTGCTTGACAGCTATCAAGAGTTGAGACTGACTCGGATCTTTCTTAAAGGACCCCTGACTCAAGATTTGGAAACTCAAGACCCTTGCGTGGCTTGAGAGTCCTGCATGCGGAGGTTGGGGGGGGGGGGGAGGTGTCACTTTTAACTGATTATTAGTGGCGAGCATTGCCTATAAAATATTTTAATTTGGTTTTAGAGTAAGAATTCATGCTCATTCGAGTATTCAGGTGCAATTGACATTTTTTTGGTTTGGCGTAGACACGGGGTTCTCTCGTGAGGTTTCCGGAGGTCAAGCAAGTATTGTTGGCATAAGAGAACATTTTCGGGGTGCGCACAATACCTTGACTGACACCCGGCAAAGACTATTGTTCTTCATCCCTTTTGCTTTGTTGCCGGGCTGCTCTTAAGCTGCTTTTAGCTGCTCACGTCCCGAATGCCTTTCTTTTTTTCTCCGGGGGGGACACACTCAAAGCATTCACATCATTTCATTCTTCACCAGCCGCGGGTCTTCATGTGTGAAAACAGCACGTTTCAGCGTTACCAAAGCTTGAGCACACTTAGTCTCACGTGCTGCTTCGCTGAGGGGTGCTAGTTTCTTATGGCATTTGGGAGGGCGTTTCAAACTGATGCAATATTGTTTGGAATTAACGATGCTAGCTTAAGTTATATAATGTGGTAGAGCATTTACAATTCAATTTCGACATTACCATACGAAAAGCTTCAAATAACTGTCGAAGAGTCGCCAACAAAACTTTTGCTGTCAGGGGTCCTCTAAGTTCTGCATGAACTATTTCTCTAAATGCTTCTATCATTGCTTCTTTGAAAAATGTAGCCTTTACAGTGCAAGAACAGTTTACATGTTCTATCTTCTTCAGTGGACGTTGTCCTAGTGCTGGATCAGGAGCGGCTGTACAACGAACTAGTGAGGGACATGCCGGGTTTTGTCAAGGTGGTGTTTACACCAAAGTCTGGTGGTGTAAGTATTTTGCCTTGTTCCCCTTTCATCCCGTATTGAACTGTCTATACTTTGGCATTGTTCTTTAGCTTCAGTCTGAGACTTGGTCTGTGTTGTATCTTAGCTTTAGAAATAATACAGCATATTCTTGCCCATTAAACTAGGCAAACTTACCTTTAGGTAGATACCATCACGCCGTGGTGTGGTATTGTCACCTTTATTTAGTTATACGAAGATGCTGTGGCATGGTTGGGAATGAGCAAGAAGACTTAATAAGCAAAGAAAATCTTGTGTGGTGCCTCTTAAATAAATGCTATATTTCCCACAACAAAACAGAAGTGCCCCACTTTGTTACATCGCATACAGCTACACATTTGAGCATTGGTCCCAACCTGATCAGCCCCACAGGTAGCATCAAAATTCGGACCGTGAGAGAAAATTTTGTGTGCATCACAAATTTTGTGTGCGTCACAAGCATGGTGTACAGTGCTTGCTGCCACGTTGTGCTTACCAGATGCTATACCCAACTTGCAAGTTCCACTTTTCTTTAGGACCGAAGCTCCTTATGCTTTCACTATGTCTGTTGTCGCCGTCGTCGTATGTCCTTGTAGGCCATCTGTCTATACTGTATATAGAGCGTTCATAGTGTGCATATGGTTTTAAAAATAGGTTGAACTCTGTCCGTCCGTCCATGCATCTGTCCATCAATCTATGTGTGCCTCCATCCATGCATCTGTCCACCGAACCGGCCGGCCAGCCGTCCATTATACCAGTCAGTAACTTCAACGGCGACATCATGGACCTTAGTACCTAGCTTCGCTCCATCATCAGCATTCACTTCGTGGATCAGCTCGCTATTCTTTTCTCGTCTTTCTCTTCCTCATGCAGTGCAGCAGGCTATAGCACGCTGAGACTCAGCCTGTCTCTTTTTTCTGTTTCTTTAAAATTGCCAGAGCACATTCAGTCTGGGCACTAGCCACAAAAAATAATGTGATAATAAAAAGTGTTAACTAGAACAGCCTCAGGGACTACAATCTTTCCTTAAACTCCTGCTTTATCACCTCTGCAGTTGCTTTGCCTGATAGTTTTATTTTACACAAGTCGGGAATGTTTACCTTTTAGTTATTGTTGTGCACATTGAGCTGACATGGCAGAGTGATGGGACTTGGCACATTAAGCGGCTGCAGCAGATGTGTATTGGAATAAGTACATGGGAGATGTCTTATGGCAGAACTGCTACTGCGAATGTCAGTAGCATGCCTGAAACATTTTTGTTTTCTTGGTTTCTTTTTCTAGTTTAAACACAAATGGATTTGCACAATTTCACTACTGCAGGCTCCTGGAATTAAAGAAAACCTGAAGGGACAAGAAAAATATTTTTCATTTACCAGGAGCTTCGTTTACTGAGAGATAAACAAGGGTGCAAGATTCAAGTACAAAACTAATCACATTAAAAGCAGTTTTTTCACTAAAACAGGTATTTAATTCAAGAGAGTTTCAGTTACTGAAAGTTTACTGTAGTTGGAAATATTATGCCACCGTATTTATAGAAGGAAATAATTCAGAACTCTTAGTCATTGCAGTAAATGTTATTAATACTTTTCTTCAGCACCGCAACATTAGGCATCTGCATTAGCCTTGCTACGTGCACCTACAGTTCCTGATGCACACATTCATCTTGCATTAGCGCTTCAACATTATGCTATTCTGTGTTTATTTTTGTTCTAATTGCACCTTTTGCTTTGGCCGCAGGTTGTAGAACGCAGCAAGTCCATGAGGTCAGAATCTAGAGATTCAAGGGTGAAAGAGTACTTCTACGGCCTCAAAACACCCCTTTACCCACACTCTTTTGATGTCAAGTTTTCTGACGTCAAACTGTATAAGATAGGTGGTAAGTACACAGGTTTTCCGGCATAATATGTTGGAGCTGGCGATGCCTCCGAAGCCTCCCCGTCCCGCCTTTCATTTCCTTACAATAATATTGCAGAAACGTCAGTTGTATGACGGTATATGAACATGAGGCCATTATCAGTGAACCCACTGTTCTCATGTGTTGCTTCCTAAAATGCATGGATCGCCATTACTCGAGCATGTTGAAACTCTGCCGTGTGCCTCACATGAAGGCCTCACTTGTTCGAACATCGCAAATTTTCTGCAAGTATTGGCTGTATGACAAGGTTGCCTAGTAAATTATTGCTATGTATATTTTTATTTGTTGAGCAACATCTGATCTCGCGAAGGTCTAATACAAAAACAATGTCAATTCATTTATTCATCTTATTCAGTATCTCTTGCATTGTCATAGATCTGAAGCATGCCACAGTGACTCAGTAAGTATGACATATTATTGTTAGGATTGTTTTGTTTCCTTGGGGTGGCCACATTCAGGTGGAGGGGGAATGCAAAAAAATATGCTGAGCTTTGAGTGGTGCACGATAAACCGCATGCAGCCAAAATAAAACGAGTGTCTGCATTCCAGCCCATAGAGATGTAAAGGTTTGAAAAAAAAAAAAAAATAGAGAGAGAGAAAACTGAATTAAAAAAAATCATTCACATTTGCCCAATGAGTAGCACTGAATTTATGTAAATCATACTAAAGTTAGGTTCATGTCACTTAAAAAATATACGTAAATGTGGTGTTGCTTCTCCTTATTATGTAACAGGTACAAAGAAAGAGGAGTTTTTCTCTATCTGAACCTGGCAAAATTAAACTTTTTCAGCGCCATCTTTACCTGACTCCTGCATGCCACTAGGCATGAAGGCTGAGGACAACTTCACAAAGCTGGTACCTGTTCCTTTAGGTAATAAGGCTGTGCCTATTTCCGTGTTTATACTATTGTGATTCACTTGCTGCTGTCTTAAGCAATGTTAGTGCTACTATCTACAATGCTCGCAAGTGGGTAAATCTTTTTCATATTGTCAATATTGTAATGATTTCAGCAATCTTCAACCTTATGCATCATGTTCATTTGCTCAAGACAATACTATAACAGTTCAGATATACAGATTGTGAGTAGTTTTCAGTATAGTGTTGTAATTAAAATGTGTCAAATTGACCGATTTCTAGAACAACTAATAAAAGGCTTGAGGCCAGAACTTAGAGCTGAACTTTCCCCGAAGTCAGTAGAATGTAGATTTTTCTTTTAAGTTCAAGAAAGTTTATTCAGAGCCTTTTCGTTCAGGAGTTGTTTTGTGAGCGTATTTGTTAAATACAAAGTCACACTTTGCCCGAGTTGCAGTTTAGGTCAGCAATACTAATTGTGACTTTAGTGTTGACAAAAGGATTTGTCATCACTTTCAGCAGTACTGATGTATTCTTTGTACTGTAGTTGTTGATCTCTAACTGCGTGCTGTGATATTTATGTGATACGGCAATAAAAACTTACAGTTGTAAGGCGACAATTCCTAAACTTCGGAATATGTTCATTTGCCCTCTTGTAGACAACTGAATGTGCATTGAGAGGGAAACTGTGAGCAAGTACCGGTTTGCTACGTGATCCAGACACCCATCCATTGCCTTTCAAGTGATCATCAGTTGTTTTTTTTTTTTTCTGTTTTCTTCCAGGACCCAATGTGCTGCATCACATACTGAGTGTCAGTTTTGCAGCCAGCAGTGACGAGGACATTCTACAGACTAATGTGGCCGGTTTTATCTGCGTGTAAGTTGCCCTTCCAATTCACTTGCAGCATGGTAGAAGTTGCCCAGCAGGTCTTGTAATCATGTTAGTAGCACGTCATGTTACAGGGTACTTAAACTTTCCTTAAATCTCTTAAACCTCGATTTGATAAACCCAGATATAACGAAATATCGGTGATAATGATGAAGAATAGTCTTGCAATAGATATATTGTTAGAAATATACCTTTATAACAAATTTTTGGATATAGCGAAGTTATTTTCACGTAAGGTGAAACTTTGTGGTTTGGATGTATAAAAGAGCCCTCCTGGTAGGCTTTCTCACCATCTACTCTGCAACAAGAACCGAAAGGACTTGCCTACTGTCTACCACTGATTCTTGCATGTGCACCGCAGGGCAGCGTGCAATGGGAAAAGCTCTTTTTTCCCTCTCTTTCTCTGGGGCATGCAGCTGGTGGTTATATCCTGTGGACCAATGCAATTTGGAGCTTTCATCGCCTTGAATGTTTCATGCGCTAGGGTACATTCACACCGTTATAACTTTTCTTGCAAGTGCACAGCTTACAGAAACTCGGTAATAGTATACCTGTAACTGCATCACCCTTCTGATTAATGTCTCTGTAGCTAAGTGCAGCTTGAGGAAAGTGAAAGCCTTGTTGACCCTTTCTGTGACTGCTTTCTGAATGAGGGAGGATTTTACTGTACAAATAATAATCCAGAAAAAAAATAAAGTGCAGAATTGTTTACCGGCGCTGTCTATCTACGGAATACGTACAGCGAAGCACACTGCACGCGCTTGCCACGGTGGGGTATCCCCAATTAAGCTTCTTGCGGGAAAGGCAGAGAATTCGTGAAGGCGAACTACGTGAAATGCACTCTTACGATGATCTCTCTGTAGAAATAAATGGGGCATACCACAATGAAGCCTCAACTAAGTGACCACACAACCATAGCTTCTGTGTCGCTGCGTATCCTCAATTAACCATTGTGGTGTGGACGTTATCGAAGCTCCTTGAAAATAATTTCCTGAAAACTTCTTGACATTGGCACCAAGGGTGACTTGAGCACGCCTTCAGCAAGATTAGATTTTTTTTGTCTTAGATGCTCTGGGTCGTTATTATTCTGGTACCATTATTATTCTAGTAGCATCGCTCTCTACTTTTATCAGTCTTCTCAGTCTTCCTTCTCTTTTTTTTAATCCAGTACTTCAATGGTTGTGGCTAGGACAAATGTAAGCATATGCAATGCTTTTTTTTTAACAGGATTCCTACCACCCTGTTACTCTGTTTCCATTCAAACGAAGAATCTAGTATCCATGTCATCCAAATGTGCATAGACGAAAGCTTAATATAAGCTTCGCGGCGGCTGTTAGAGGAAAAAGCACTTCACAATAGGGTGAAACGTGAGACGTTGCACAACACGAAGGACTAGTTCTCCAAATAATGGCAGTACAAATACCTGCACAAGCTATTAGTCACAGAGAAAGACTGAAAGGTTACATAGCAAGTAGTTGCAAAGCAGGGTAAAAAGAAGGTGTGGAGAATGCAATGTGAAGTTGCGATGTTCAACATTATTAGTAAGTTTGGGGGTAATTTTGGTGGAAAAATTGCGTCTATACCTTTACAATGTAAATACATATGGCTTCATGGAAAACAAACAAGTTTGGGACGAGTTAACTTGAATTTGGGAGTGAATAAACATTATTTTGGCATCAATATGGACGTGGACATCACACGAACCAGCTTGCAGAAGAAAGGCGTCATTAGCTGGCCATTGTGCCTGAGCGAGTACCACGGCGAGTGCTTTCTGCTACTCGCCAAGCATCGCAGCCCCAAGCCAAAGTGGATGCCCGTTTTGTTCAAGTGTTACCTATATGCACATTGTAACAGTGGTGGATGTGCTGCTTCAAATGCTTCAGAAGAAAAATGCCCCTCCAAGCTTGGATTTTTGTTATTCATTGCTCCAAACATGCTCCTAAATGGCACTGAGAGAATGAGAACGAAGAATCTGTACACCCAGCTCTTAAGCCTAAAATAAATCCGAAAAATAAATCTGTATACTATCAGCCTAGTAGACCACAAGTGTGCATCATTATCAGCTCTGACTTCATTTAAACAACAGAAACTGGCATGCTAAGCATGTAGATCATATAGCTTCTTTTTTTTTTTTTTCAACTGGACATGGAGACTACTTTGGTAAAATGTGAAAATGAGCAAAATAGCTTTGATTTCATACTGATTCATCATCATCAGTCTGACTATGCCCACTGTAGGACAAAGGCTTCTCCCACATACGTACTGCCAATACACCCGGTTATATGCTTTCTGCTAGCACGATAACCTGCAATCTTCTTAATCTCATCTGCCCGCCCAATATTCTGTCTCTCCCTCACACTATTTGCATGCTCTTGAAGCCCTTAATAACCAGCGGTTGTCCTGCCTACTGTGCCTGGCCCGTGTACATTTCTTCTTCTTGGATTTCAGCTGTGATAACCTTAACCCCGGTTTGTTCCCTGGCCCACTGGGCTCTCATCCTGCCTCTTAAGGGTCACACCTATCATTTTCCTTTCCATCGCACACTGCATTGACTTGAATTTAAGTTCAAACCTCTTTGTATGCCTGCAGGTTCCTGCTCCGATTATCTACCTACTCCTTATTTGGCAACATTTACATACGATTGTGATAACATATTCTCACTAATCTCAGCCTCCTCTCAATCTTGAGGGAACCGCTGAGACTTTTTTATTAAATGTCATGCAGCACGCACCCCTTGTCCTGACAAGGACTGTTGCCGACACTGCATGACTTTGTAAAACCCATAAGCATAGCCCATTTTAAACCCTTCACACATAGTCACTACATCTAAGTTTAAGCCCTATGCTCCACTCTTTTGTTCTTGCGACCCTGAGTCAACTTTTTATAATCAAATGAACCAAAAACCGTGTGTTTGGCGCTCTTTGGCCTGGGTTGCCCTTGCGCCACTAAAATCTACCATCATCATATATGATTGTGGTTACTTCTGAAATTTAATGCTCAGATTTATTGGTCTGATTTCATTTCTGCCACAAGTACTGTTAATTTAAATATATACCTCATTTTACAGCACATTCGATAACCACCCATCTTTTTAATTTTTTTTTCTTGCGATTTGCGTTGATTGTTGTCTGTGAAAAATATTTTGCGATAGACATCAATATTTATAAGACGCTTCGGCAATGCTTTGAACTCCAGGAGTTGTTTGACAAATTTTGCAAGTGCTCCCAAAATCACCATATGATTATGAAAGACGCAGTAGGGAAGGACTCTGGTAATTTCGACCATCTGTGGTTCTTTAACGTGCACCCAAATCTGAGCACGGAAGCCTACTTAAACACCAATAGGTGCTCTCCAAACTAAATTTTTTTCCTGCTCCAAGAAAATAAAAAGTCACTTCCGTCGCTGTTGTAGCTAGTAGCTGTTGACAATTTCCAAATTTCCAAATCCACGCTGCAAGCCGCTTCCTCCTCTTTAGAGTGAAAGCTGGCTCTGTTGCGTGTTTCCTGCACTGTGGCACCGAGCACTGGCCTACCATATGATACACCATTAAAGACAGTGACTACACCTTGCAGTGCTTTCAAGTGTTGTAAAACACAAGCCAAAGCAGGAGAATCTGCCCATGCAATTAAAATCATGGTGCATTCCTTATAAAATTTTATTTCCCACATGCCTCGATGCTCCTGAAGCAGATGACGCTGCCTCAGATTTCTCCCAGTCCATCACACCGATAATGGTGCCAGCTTTTTCGGTGGTGGGTTTTGTGCCCAATAGGAAAGCAGTACAGTCATATCAGCTTTACTTTTGCAAATACTGGACTAGTATGGTCTGGTAGTCAACATCCTCCAATAGAAGCAATGCTCTGGGACATGCGGTTTTGTAGCTTTTGGTGGGCAGCTGGCTCTTATGTGTTCGTAATCGATGTGAAATGTATTGTCAAAGTGTTGAAAACACATTCCCTTCACACAGGAAAAGCTGTGTGGCCATGCCAGGTAGCTTTGATTGGTCACTCCTGGGTGCCTGAAGATCTCTTGCATGTTTATCTAACAAAAATGGCATAGCCACTGTTGTGCTGTCTAATGAGTCTCTGAGAATCAAGATAACAAACTAAGAAAGCACTGTTAGGCTGCAATTCCAGGTTTTCTATGAAGATTGTTTTTGTAGTAAAGGTATCATGGCATTTAGATAAACTTCTTTTTTTTTCATTGAAAGCCATGTTTTTTTTTGTCTGGTATTAACTTATGTGATTTGCATCAAGCAGAACTAAAGAGTTTACCAGCCTGGTGTGCACGCCATGTTTGTTATTCTACAAAGAACTAATATACAGGCGATCTAGCACAAAGGAGCCCGCATGTGTCTCATCTTTCCTTCGTCTTGTGTTTGAAAATAAGTGCCGCTTTATATGGAACCTCACCAACTCTCCCATATCGCCTGTCTTCTTCAAAAAGAAGCAGTTTGTACAGCTTTCTCATGTGGCCTGTTTTTGAGTGCATTTACTAAGTGTGCTTTGTCTGTGGTCTCACTAATCTCAATGTAACTCAGAAGTGTTAATCCATCTAGTATTAGAAGATGTGCAGTGCAGTGCTAAAAGACAAGGGTGCAGAGCACGTGTGAAGTTTTCTGTACGACAAGTCTAAAGACACCTGGCTGAGTCGTCTAACCTATGCGGTGCATAGCTTTAGCTGACAATTGCAGCTACAGAGTCTGCAAAAATAAAAACTCTCACTAGAGTGTCCTTTTTAACTGTGAATCAAAGTGTAGTTCTAATCATAAGACGTATGTGAAAGAGGCACTGCAAGTATGTCTAACGGGAGGTATTCATGGACTGTGCTAATTCACACAGTGCTATGATGTAGGAACCAGATACATAAATAAAATAACGGAGAAATTGCTGGCACAGTAACGTCCTGACATGTAAAATATGTTGCACTGTACCTGCGTTATGCTTGTACTACACAGGGGTTAACATAACTTATCCTTTTTGTCTACTTTCAAACTAATGTTTGAAACTCGCAGATTCTTTGTTTTGTGCTCTCACATACTTTATGTAGATGATGTTGAGGATATGCTAGAGACCGGTGGGTTATGTAGATAAGCTTCACACAAAGCAGTGCGATTCCTTGGCATGCTTGCCAGTCGGGATTGCCAAAGTGCCTTGAGCACTATGATAATATGAATGCAACTGATAGCATGTGCCAAGATGGCTGATTAGGAGAGTTGGTGATTCATGATTGCTTGAAATACGAATCTACGTTACATGCTCGCATTTCAAGCAGTTATGATTGGCATGTGGTTCACATGAAATGTAATTTGTTTGTCCTCATTTCCTCTACATTGTATCTCTTAGAACGGAAGTGGACATGGAACGGCAAACGCTGACAGTTCTCTCACCACAGCCAAGGCCTCTACCAAAGGCAGTGCTGCTGCTGAGTGAAATTCAGTTCATGGACTCACATTGATAATTAATTATGCCTTGTTGATTCATTGCGCATCTCACCTTATAAATAAATCATCTCATCACTGTTCTCACTCCCTCAGTTTTGTGATTGTTTTCATCCAACAACTGTGGTCTGCATGTTGTGTGATGTGCCTTCAACACAGAGATGTTCTGTGCTGGTGTCCTTTCCACAATGCTTGCTTAGCAAAACAAAAGGCAGGGACCTGCCTGTCCACCCTATTGCTCACTTATGTACACTGCGCAGTACATTCACAAAAAAAT